TAACCAACAATTAAAACATCAGCAAAAACAGAATTTTAAAAGTGCATATTAGTCAATCAACCAAAGCTGATATCACACTTACAGAAAAAGGTAAATGAATTAGATTGGGATTTATACCTGTTTCTCTAAACCAATGGAAACGTCCATTACTACAATGGGCAAGATTTCTGAGGCATTCAGCTGTTCTTGTAATGTTGGCGTATCTTCCTGGTATGGCACCCTCAGCATTATAATCATCTACATTAAATAATATACAGTGTAGTTGTATATGCCGACCACAATACATCTCTTCTATGTAGGCACTAGTGACATCTTGGGTTTGATCTGGTACACCACTAGTAAATAGATATACCCCCTGTACATCTGAAAATACATCAATATTATAAACTGCCAATCCATACACACAAACATAATTCTACGCAGAATATGAAACAATTAAAATAAATACATTTTATTTTAGTTGAGAAGTAAATTGGTGGTATTTTGTGACGGGAGAAATTAAATAGAAACTCCATTTTATAGGAACTTTTACTTAAATAACCCACCCTTTATCATTGAATCAAATTAAAATTTTATCAATAAATAAGAGAAAAGCGACTCACTTATTTGATGCTTTATTTCATTATCATTTTCAACAGCTTTACGATAAGCAGATAGAAAATTTCTACTTCCACTACATTGTAAATCTAACACAAACCTACAATCAATATTAAAACATATTAGCACAAAGAAATAACTGTAGATTATGTTTCCACTATGTTGGACTGGTCAGTCTCTTTGCTTTATACTGAAATCCTTATTGTTAATCAGTATTGCTCTGTCTCTGTTATCAGTCATATATTTAAGTAAAACCAAAATGTGAAAACTTACTTCCAAGCATCTTGTAAATTTTGGGGTGTCGGTTTCACCATTGTAGGTTTCCATGATTTACATTCACTTCCAAACCTATAAATATTCAAATAAATTAACAAAAAATAATAAACAATTACCTTAAAATATGTAATGAGTATTCAATGATAGTGAGAACCGAATCCGATTACACTATATTTATTTCCTGTTCAATACTACGCAGAAATTCAAACAATATAAGAATATATCTATACATAAAAAGAAAAATATCTCGGCAATAAATATTTTTGCACTTACGAAATAATGTTGAAATATTCTTTATTAGCAATCTGTTGTTCCATCAATAATCGTAGTGAATGTTGCATGTGAACCAAATAGTTTATGTTTGACACCGATGAATCGATCAAAATCACAACACTAAAAAATAACAACCCAGAAACATTTTCAAACATGTCAATTATTGAAAGTCAACTCTAATAATGAATTCTCACATAAATAAGTCATGGAAAATGTAACAGAAATGAATTCAAATATCTAGAAAGCAATTGTCTACTCAATTCATACTCATGCTGTATGGTAACAATTGAAATGAAATGAAATGGGGTTTAACGTCTTACTGTTTTTCTCCGAACTGGGCTAATGAAGACGGGCATACGCCATACCGCCTACTCTTATATCGAATTCCCACTGTCAAGGGATCTTTTACGTGCACGCCAATGTGTACACGGGACCTCGGTTTTTTGTCTCATCCGAATGACTAGCCAGCTGTCCTTGTCAGACCCTCCGTCCTGCATCACCGACAAGGGGGAACCATGCCGGGAAATCTGGATGAACTTTCTCGGCCAATGCAGTATGGTAACAAAAACCTCATATTATATGAATGATAAAATGGTAATATAGAGACATTTGTGGACAATAATAATACATCTTTTCTCCATAATTTAAATTTTCTCCGATACTTACTTTTTCTCAGTAATGGTGCCAAATATCCGTCTACTACCCGTCGCCAACCAGTCAACTCGTCTCTCAAACAGACTGACTACAGCCTTTAATTGTTTCTGATATTCAAATAGTTGTGACATATTCACATGAATATTTTTTATTGATCCATCATGCCAAGGAAACTGTACCATTGCTTTCTGCAATACAAATAATAATAGTTTAAATAATCCGTTTTAAAAAGAGTTCTAAATCATCTCTGATTTAGTATATTTGGTACATTGGGTCATTTTATATTTTTTGGGGGGTTAATTGTTATACATACAAAGCAGGAGCCCAGGAGGGTCAACCTAGCTGAAAAGTGTACCAATTTTCACCTATATGGTATCAATGCGTGCATATGTGATCAATCGTTCCTGTGGTGGTAACGGCTAATTTAGCCTAGCTGTGGTCTTTCAGTTGCAAAAATCCATGGGGGGTACCCACAACACCAGTAATGTCTGTTTTTGTAATACTTGAAGATGTAAGGTCCACTGCTGTACCATTTTCATGTGGTACACTTTTGAGCTAATCCAGTCCAAGTATTTATGCCCAGAATCCCAGCCCTCAGATCTACATCCAACACCAGATTCCCGGAAAACTTACATTCTGATGATACCACATATACATGCATTGATACCATATAGGTGAAAATTGGTACACTTTTCAGCTAGGTTACCCCCCCTGGGCTCCCGGTCTATTACTCAACACTTAGTATGATTAAAATCTGAATAATGAGAAATTATTCTGGTTTGCATAGACGTAATGCTGTTTTAATGAAGACTAAAGAGCTAGGTTTCTTTGCATAAGAAAAATGTTTGGATCAACATATACCCCCGTCAGACCGGGGTGGCATCCTTACTGTGCTGCTACGACGACAGAAAATGGTCTCAGAGCGCCATAATCGAGGTGGAAACACCAGATATATCGTGCTGTGGTCTCCATGGTTGCCAATGATCGCTGATTCATGGCGTTTGCTTTGAGCTGTTAATATAAAAGCCAAGTTTCTGCGATCTGACCTGGAAAGCTGTTAGAATGCAGTTTGGTTGTGAAGGTCGAGAGAAAAACGTGGTAACATCGCCATGAACGTAGTACATGCACAGTACACACATGGTGAAGACGCTGTGAAAATTGTAACATCTGCAACAGCGACTTCATTGGGTCTTCACCACAACCCTTGCGGGTCTGTCACGACCCCACCAAGCGTTGGGGTCCTGATGGCATTGCCATGACAATGTTACGATGACTTCACCACAGTTACATGATTGCACCATGGGGATCCTGTGCGCCTATGGCGATCTTATGGGGTTCCCACTGCATTAATGGAGTTCTTAATACGACCATGGCGCAGTTACCAAGCTTGCATTATGCTCCAATGGCGACCATGCTTTTCATGTGCTACTGCACAATGATCATCTTGACATTTCCAAAAACTATGATCATGTGATAGTAACGCATTTGCAGTCGCAATACACATAGAAGATGTGTGGTAAGAACCCCATGAGCGTGGTTAGAGCACGGCAGTTTCACCAATGATCACTGTTGCCAAGCCAATAGATCTGAATAGAAATGCCATAAGCATGGAGAGGTAGTGACGGACGCGCTGTGAGAATGTGGTATATTCGCATAGGTCGCGGTAAGAACGCGTCTCTTTTCAAGTTTTTAATATTGGGGAACATTTTCTTTCTTTGCCGGCGACCATGTGCATTTTCTGGTCGCTGTACGGTCGCAGCAGCGCAGTAAAGAGGCCACCCCAGCCTGATGGGGGTATAAAGAAAGAACTTTTTACAATACTTACACCATGAACTTGTGATTGAACTGCCTTGTTTATTATTGGAATAAATTCTTCTTTAAAGGAATAAGCATTGGGGGCTAAAACTTGGTACAAATGGAGACGTTTTGCTGAAAAGAAATAAATATGATCCAATTATTACGTTTTTATATGCTTCAAAATATACATGAAAATACTTCAACTTGCATCTAATAAAATCTACAGCATAAAGGATTAAACACCCAAGTATACATTAGTGAGATGAAGAATATTTGCAACAAAACTTATAAGTAGCTTACCTTTCAAGCCATGCTGTTTCAACCAGTCTCTTGATCCGCGAATGTGAAATTTAGGCACCTCAATTCTTAATGGATCCTCATGACCAGGGGGACGTGGTAGAAATCTAGATTGTGGTAACTTAGCAACTTCTGCAGATATCTAAAAGAAACAAGTTTAACTTGAGCTTTTCAGATGATTGACCACACACATAAAGAAAGGGCTGGGGTGTGAGTCAAGAATAATGAAACAAATATGATATAATTTAAATTTGGTATTCAAAGAATTTTTAATGTATGTGTGCCATGCATTTATCTTAGAAAATGACGAGACATTTAACTTAGAAGTTTGTATACAGCTTAATATCAATTCTAAGAAGAAAGTAATGAAACGAACAAAGCCAGAATCTATTTCTGATAAGTTTTGGTCTTGAATATTTACAGGAAATAATAAGGTCATTATTGAAAACCAATATGCTGAAATTTCAAATTCTGTAAAATAATCTTTACATGTTTCGCACCAGATCTCAAATCAGGAAGTTACTCAAAGTTTCCTATTTCCTTTTAATACCAAGATGAAACCAGTAATAATAGTTTATACAAATGGACCGTCAATTTTGAGGTATAATTACTAGCATATTCTGTTATAAAATAAAATGATATGGAAATTCTAAATGATACCAGAATTAAAAGGAATGTATACTGTTAATAAAACAAACCTCATTCATGATACTAATCAAAGCTGTTCCCATCATGCCTTGTCTCATTTCTTTTATTTTACTCAGTATATCTTGGGCTTTATGTATCTCTTTAAGTAATAAACTAATATCTGTACCACTATAAATTTGTTCCTGAAAAAATAAATAATATATACATATAAGTAAACTTATCATTTCTATTACAGAACCTATTTGACAAGAAGGATCAGAGAGTACAGAATTTGTTTTTTTTCATACTTTAGTTTCCGTCCCATGCTATCCTAAAGAAAGAATTAGCCAATGAGCTGCACAATACACCACACTAAAATGTACATTTCAAATTTTGTCGTCACTATACTTAAGACTTGTATGAAATTAAGACTAAGAGATTTTGATTTTTATAAAATTATACGTATATTATAATCATTATCATCTAAAACATACCTCACAGTTAGCTGTATAACAATGATATCTTCCTCTAGATGTATCAGCTAGATTGCGTAGTGTTATCTAAAAAAAAAAAAAAATTCCATTATATATATTAAATGCCTGAAGAGCAACTTTGGTTGTGAAAACATTAGCACAAATTATGTAGTTTCATTTCGCCAAAATAAATGTTACTTATATATATATATATATATATCCACAATAAGGCCTGCTGTAATAAACTGTAATAAATGTAGGTGTCACTTTGCAATGTTCAATACACAATTACAACAATATTTGTTACCGTTGCCAATGCCAATGTTCCCAAAGAATGGTTACAAAAATGGATTGAAGACAACTTACATTTGTCATATGATCAGAACAATCATAAGCTACTGTATGTATAGGTAAATTTCTTCCTACTCCTAACTGATGAGAATATTCACAGAGAATTTCTGACATTTGGTCAGGACTGCAAAATAATTCATAATAAATATAAAGTTGTGAAAGATAACATCTGGGAGATTACAATAAGGTAGAATCGTAAACAATCATAATCAAATCAAATGGTAGTTACATCTTCAGTTTACTATCTGGAAACTGGGTGATATGTACTAATATGGATAGTGGGATTTGTGCAAAAGAATGCATATGCATATGTATATTAATATTATGGCCTTGACTAATTATTCTCCATTGTCAGTATATTAGCTATGGTATGAGTTTATTTTAAGCGATTAAGTGATCAACATATTTATCGTGTTAGTTATATCACCTATGCGTCGTCAGTGGTTGGAGGGGAAAAGCTGGGGCAAAGTTCATGGTTAAGGGGGAAACCAGCGGTATGCCTCCTCCCTCCAGAAATATTTAAAAAATATACTGCCAAAAAAAAACCTTGACAAAGCCACCTCATGAGCGCCAAAGTAACGAGCCCTTATGGGGGGTATGGGGGACCTTCACCAAAAATTTTTGAAAACTAGACTGTTGTCGAGATAAGAGTAATTATAAACTTTATCTACGTGATTAAACTGTGATTTCTCCATTGCCAGATGTTTTAATCTCCTTGATGTCGGCCTAAAACATGTAGAAACTAGTCATATATGTCACTTATCCTAATAGTACATAACACCCCAAATCAATATACATTGTCCACGATATCACTTCGGTGGAAGCGGTCAATAAATAAAGCTATTTCACACACATCCAAAAAATACTAAACAATGCAAGCTCTGTTTTGTGATCGCACACGGTTATAGTACAATAACTGAAACCGAAGTAGAAATCTCGCGAGAGGCGTGAAATTATGAGTGAAATTATGAAATGAAAATGTGACAAATTCCATGTCTAATGTTGGAAAAAAGATTCTATTTTGATGGCATATTCTCAGATTTATGATCATATTTTGAATGGGATTTATGTTTTTAAATAAATAAACACGCTAAGAAATGTTGATGAATATTTTGATCGGAATAGTGTAAGTAGTTAATTGTTTTAGACGATAGCGCGTGCTTGAGTCGAATGTGATTATTTAGCAGATGATGTCACTCGCTCGTTGTGGTAGAGCGACGGTTACTGCCAAAGTTTGGGATGTCATTTTTTTTACTTTCTGTTCATAAGTCGAAATGGAGCATAAGACGAACACTGGACTTCTGCTGAAAAATGTATTGACTTATACCCCCGAATAATATGGTCATTTTGAAGGAATTTTAAACAGGTACGGGTTGGCAGTAGTTGGCATGCTTTCATTCTATCGTATTATGACATTGCGTAATTTTGTAGGAATATTACTGACATATATTTGATACCGTACGAGAATTAAATATGAAAAATAACTAGGTGCACCTATTTTTTATATTACGTACGAATTTAAATATTTTGTTGATGCGTGATATTTAATTGTGGTCTGTAACCGCTTGCTTAAATAACAATAAGAGTTATTCCCCTTTATTTTTCGGTAAAAATGTCTGACAAGAAAAATTTTGAAATTCCAACACTGCCATAAACCCAGATTGTAATTTAATAATCACAGAACTGCACTTACACAGATCCTAGAATTAGAACTATGGTATCTAAATCTTTCATTTTCATCACTTTTTTTAGAGCTTTAAGTGCATTACATCCACCTGATGGCATCAGTCTCATAGCCCATTCCTTTGCATCTTCAATTCTAAAAAAATAAATTAAAAAAACATATAAAATTACCAAAACATTACATACAACAAGGTTTTAATTTAAAGAAGATCTGGAATAAATGAAAACCTTAAAAGTTGTTTCATTTTTGACATTCAAGCAAGTGTTAGCAATTAATGCAAGAAAAAATACAAAGTATCGTAGAATTGCTGCTTACACTCTGGGATTGACATCTCGTACTACGGGCCAAAGTGGGTCTATTTCTGATCCAAATGACATGAGATATATGGCTGATCTTTTCGATAATTGTTCATCAATCAAATGCTGAAAATGAAATTTATAATAAAATTAGTTTTCTGAAACTGATCTTTTCAAGTTAGTAGGCCTGGGAGAAAAAAGTTATATAGAGAGTACAAAATTATAATTCAATTTTGCCATTTCTGTTTTGAGGTTAAATTTTGTAGGTCTACATTTTTAAAGACTTAAAATATTTATGAAATGTATAAGCTATTTCTCATTAGACTATCAAATGCAGACTGTACTGATATCAAGGCTTTATCTTACAGTATTCAAAAATTCTATTACTGTTAATAATTGTCCGCAAATGCCTTTCCGAAGAAAACCTTTTATTTTACCAGTTATTTACTTGGATGTTATCTCAAGAAATCTCCAAATAAAGACTTTGAATCAAAAGCATGATATAAAAGATTCCATTACTTACAATAAGAGATTCTTTTAAAGCTGATAGTCGACCATAACCTAGGCTAACTTCAGAGGCATCAATGCAAACACCAATTTTTTGACCACCAACATTTCCAAATACCTTAAAAAATATATCATAAAAACATTAGCAAGCAAAACTAAATTTTGGACATAGCCTAGGCATATGACAAGTAATTCTAAGTATTTCCTTTATGAAAACTATAGAGATTTCCTTAGTATAAATTTGCAAGAAAAATAAACAATTACCCTTTTACTTCCCTGTAATAACCATTTTATTCTCTTGGTATATTGTTCTATTCCTCTGAAAACAAGAAAATATGTGACAATAAATTAAATCAATTCAAATCTGACTTATTAGAGCTGCCGTGGGTCTTTCTTATTTAATACACCATTAGTTTATGGGAAGTTTATAATAATATAATTACTTGTTCAGTTGTGAACTTTTCTATTTAAACTGGGTATAATGCAGAACTAAATATACATTACGATTAAATAGTCTTTAAACTAGGACACTTGGCCATCCAATTTCAGAAAATAACATTTTTTTTATATACTATAGTATATAATACTTACGTGTTTAGTCTGTATTCAAATTCATTAACATCCATAGCATCAAACTGTATATGTTGATTGACTCTTCCTGTTTGTTTATCAGGATGTAACCTAAAGTAATATTTGTACAGAAGCATGATTTACGATCAATATACATCATCAGACTAATTCCAATAATAAAGTCAGTAACATGGGACATTTCTCAGATTAAAATTACTAATTTAGATTAAATAATTTTGCAGAATAAATTAGATATTTTTTTCTATCCATTTGAAACATTTCATTGAAACATTCTGCCAAATAAACCTCTAGGATAATTCTAGTTTTAGGGATGTTATACATATAGATAATTACAATGTATTACCTTCCTATTTTTCCTTTATCTACAAGATCTTGCAATGTTAGTTTCTGATATTCTATGCTGTGAGTTCTAAGCCATTCTTCTGATGTTTGTCCTTCTGCACTTACAACAGCATCAGTATTTGCAACAGTCTAAAATCAAATTATGATCCAAATATACATATTGCCTAAACAAAGCATCTATATCAACAATCTACAGTATTTTCAAAACATTGATTTAATAATTGTTCTTTTGATCTTAACGAAAATTATATTTTACCTGTAATGCATTAGTCTGATTAACCTTAGTAACTGTTAATGGTAATGGTGGTTTAGCATTTCCAATATTGATAGGAATCCATGGTTTTAGTATCTCTCCCCTGTTGATAAAGAATTATTTTAGAATTATTATCCATTGAAGTATTCAATAATCTTTCTACAAAATAGTTCTAGTGCTGGTATGTTTAATAAGATAATGTCAGTCGAGAACACACATCAGATCCTGATACCTAGTCCTCATTAAATTCCTGGTATCTATCTATACATAGGCCTATAAAAAAAACTGGAAACAAACAGTAAAGCTAATGTAAAATCTGAACCTGCCCTAATTTGGACAATAATCGTATTTTTCCTATTAGATGTAAAACTATGAATTACCTGTATACTTCATCAAAATTTTCACCATCATCATCATTTTCATCTTCTTCTTCCTCGTCTTCAAGTTTAACAGAATCTGCTTTTTCTTCTTCTCTATAATCAGATATATCATAGTGTATATGAATACAAGACTAATTTCTAAATTTTATGAGAGAGAGAGAGAGAAATGGGGTTTAACGTCCACTCGACACAAACTAGGTCATTTTGGGACTAACATATGGTTTAATTTTATTTACATAATTCGCTTGCGCGTAGGGGTCTTTAGCAGTGGGAGGAAACCGGATGACCCGGAGAAAACCACGAAGTTGGACAGGCGACCATACTCCTTGCCACGTAAAACCAGGGATTCGAAACCACGCCAGTCGACTCAATGACAGACTTTATGATACAGCGCACGCACGCTAACCATTCAGCCATCCAACCCCCCCAATTTTTATGAGAGATATGGACAATAAGTATATCAGACTGGTATTAAGGTAATGAAAATTGTGAGGTGAGGGGTAGGGGTAGGGGTTGGGGTGTGTGTGGGGGGGAGGGGGGCACGACAGCATTATTCTATAAATCCATTAATACCAATGATCACAATTGGACAAAAATTTCCACACAACATAGAATAGTGACAAGAGCTGTTTTAATAAATAACAGTCTCAAGCAGCCGGTGCTTACACGTATTATCATTTGCAACGTCTACTGACATTATTTATACTGACACAGGCGGGGCTAGACGTTGCCGAATAACAATAATAAGAACTAAAAAAAATCTTTACTTACTCAGATTCTTCCTTTAGTGCTTCTTTGAATGACCTTCTTGGAAAAGAAAATAAATCAGACATTTTTCTTGCATAAATTCTTCAATAATCCTGTATTTAAACGTTCATAATAAATAATTACATGACATTATTCATCTTAATCGATTGTGTTTATGTTGTTGCTAGATATAACAAGAAGGCCCCGGGCCGTCTTTTTCTTTGCGTCCTGATTGGTCAAAATAGCGGGCACCTGTCAAGTAGTCTCGAATGTCTACACATGCTACAGAAAACATTTTAGAGTTGAGAGTACACAACGTGTCTTTCTTTACTTCCGGTTCTGTAAAAAGGAAACATCTGTTTGGTTCCAGGACAGGAAAAAAGGATGTCTAGCTCTGGTACTGATGCTGATGCTCAAGATAAACCTGTTAAAATCGATAAGTGGGATGGCACTGCATTAAAAAATGCATTAGATGATGCTGCCAAAAAAGTTATGTTAGATAAATACAACATGAAAGAATCACACTCTCTCATGGACGGTCGACTGATGATCTGCACAGTTGCTGTTGGATTTGCTATGTTTGCGTTGATCTGGGATTATCTTAATCCCTTCCCCGCATCAAGAACCGTTCTAATCATTTGTGTATTGTCTTACTTTCTTCTTATGGGCGTGTTAACTTTATACACCACTTATACCGAAAAGGGTATATTTCTAGTGGCTTTAGATAAAGATAAAGCTGGAGTAGATCCCGATGACATATGGACCTTGGCATCAGTTCTCAAAAAATATGATGATATCTACATGCTGAGTTTAACTTTTGAAGATGGAAAGACAAAGAAACAACGAACAGTTGAAAAGGGGCACTCTGTGGCTAATTACTTTGACGAAGAAGGATCCTTATGTGTAGAAAAATTTGAACCATTTGTCCGACTACTGAAAGACAGTCTTAACTTTGAAAAGAAAGGAAATTAGCTTTGAGAAAGTAGAATGCATGAGTGAAGAAGTGTCCCCCAAAAATTATATTTTATTTTTGTTTGAAAGTCTGTTTCCATATTATATAACTTCAGTACTTCACCCATGAACACTTTTCACTGTGTAAGCTTAATAATGTATGATGTGTCCAAGTATATTTTTTTTTTTTTTTTTTTAAAAACCCTACAGATTTAAAGTTTTATGAGAATCAATTCATAGCTACATATATTGTACATGCAGCAGACGAAAACTATCAATTTCTTTTTAATATCTGTATATATTCGTAAAGTTAATGGTAGTGGGTTAAAAGTGTTATTCTAGTGAATGCATCGTTGTTACTTTGTGCAAATGAGAAATCAAGTCACATGGGAGATTGTCTATTTGTTACATTTTTATGGCAGATGTCTAATACATGAATGATTGAAATAAAAAATAATGTCTTCTACTAATATATAACTGCGTTTACATGCCCATTTAACTCTTTCTAATAAATGATTGTACATGTATTATATGTTTGTAAAGTAGATTCACTTTATTACCTCTTACCTCATTAGGAGCAGAATGAGTTAATCAAATAAATTAGTTCATAAATTGTACAAATAGCAACCAAGATGCATGAAAGTCTTTTTTGCTGGTCCAATTCGCTTTTTTGACACATAACATCTTTTCTATACCAACAGATGAGTGGACTGTGTGCTACAGCTTTTCGTTGGCTTTGCAATATAGATCTTATAATCGGTATTCACCCGTCATGACAAACATTCCCTAATTTAATGGAGTGATGATATGGAATGTGTAGATGACAAATCATGCCTTATTTATTATGTGTTTGGTTTACCAGTATGACCTAGTCTTTTACTTGGTAGCACTGATTAACTGGTGCTTTGTGAATAGTATGTTTTCTTAGTTTAAGATTGAAAATATTTTATAGTTGTAGTTACGTGTATAATTTTGTTTCAAACTGACAATAACATTGGCTTGTTTAATTTATGTGGGTTGAGGGCAATTATATCAACAAAAAACAAATTGGAATAAGTCTACTAGTGCTATAATAAAATATGAAGCCGACATTGCATTACGACAGGCAATTTTCTTTTGGGATGCTTCAGTGTTTGCATTATGGTAATATTAAAGTACAATTTTCAAAAAGTCCCGCATGTTAAAGAGCAGTTGAAAAAAAATACTCTTGTTATTGAAATATTTGCATGTATCGTCACTTAAATTTGTGTTTGGATATTGTGTAATATGAGATGTAAATACTATCTAACCAAATGTATCCATAAAACACATTGTATTCTGTAAGCACAATTGCAAATAGCTGTTAATTAGATGTAACTTAAAAATGTGCATATAGTACCTGGATACTAATGATTTTAGAAATGCTTATCTTATAGCACTAACAGTTGTTACATGTGCTTTCTGACGATTCATTGCATACTTTTTTTTTTAAAGTTAATTTGATGTATCTATTATATTATAATTGTTCATAATCAAAGTATTCTTGATTTATAAATAAATTGTCTTTACAATTTCTTGTCTATCATTGTTATAATTTCTTTTCAAGCGGAAAAGTTACTTTTCAAGACGCAATGACATTCTGTTAATTTCTAATGTAATTTCACCAGGGTCCTTGCTACTACCAGCAATTATGCTGCATTTAATTTACCCTGCCCTATCGTACAGAAGACCAATTCTGCCTTTCACTACTGTAGGATAAAATAAGCCAGCTGCAAGGGTGTTTTCTTCCGAGTATACCAATCAACTTTAACACAAGTAGATATTCCTCTGTTTATTCACATTCATTATCTGAATTAAGAACTCTTACAAATGTGTAAATAACTAGTTTAATAAATTGAAACAGATTACATATTTTCACAGATTATTTTCCCTACATTTAGTGTGTCAGAGGAGATAATTTCTATGACATTTTTATTGACTGGTTTTAGTTATTTGAACCAGCTCAAAATCACCCACAACCATTTATTTATTTAAACTTCTATTCAAAGACACTCATGACCATTTGTTCAGAAATAATGAACTAGATCACAAATAAATGCAGGATGGACATAGCATTACCCAAAATTAACATTGAGAATCAAAACTGCAATGTATTTTCAACCAGCGGCTGCCAGGCAAGACACGCCCACAATTTGCAAGAGATGGATGGACAAGCTAAACAAAGATAGGTTGCCAGGCAACAAAACATACACCCAGTTAAATCGTCCGGGCAGTCAACAAGAGTTGTCGCATATTTTTACTTTTTTCGGTAATGAAACATTTATAATACACTAAAATCTGATTAAGAGTAACAACTCATTAAATAATTATCAGAAAATCATTAGTAATTTGTTTGGTTTTTATAAAGTTCTGCCTCATGCTAACCTTTAGTATATGAAACATTTAATACATGGATGCAGCTGTTCAGTTATCAAAATTCGTTGAAATTAAATATACCTGTTCGTCTCAAGACCTTAAACTCTGTGTATCAATCTGAAGTCAATCGGTTGATAACTTTAGCCTCTAAAGTGTCACAAGATTTTTCAAAGTGATCAAGGGCCATAACTTTGGCCGTAATTATTGGAAATCGTTGAAAATCAATAGGATTTTTCGTCCCATGACCTCAAACACTGGGTAAAAATTTAAAGTTTATCGGATATTAGCTTTAGCCTCTAGAGCGTCCACAAGATTTTTTGAAGTGATCAAGGGCCATATTTCTGGCATTAATTATCCGAAATCGCTGAAAATCAATAGGCTTCTTCGACTCATGACCTTAAACACTGTATATAAATTTAAAGTCAATCGGATATCATCTTTAGCCTCTAGAGCATCCACAAGATATTTTGAAGTGATCAAGGGCCATAACTCTGGCAGTAATTATCGGAAATCATTGAAAATCAATAGTCTTCTTCGTCTCATGACCTTAAACACTTTGGCAGTAATTATCGGAAATTGCTGAAAATCAATAAGCTTCTTCGTCTCATGACCTTCAACACTGAGTAATAATTTAAAGTCAATCAGATGTTAACTTTGGCATCTAGAAAGTCCACAAGATATTTTGAAGTGATCAAGGGCTATAACTCTGGCAGTAATTATCGGAAATCGCTGAAAATCAACAGGCTTCCTCATCTCATGACCTTAAACCCTGTGTATTTAACGTCAATCGGATATTAACTTTGGCCTCTAGAACGTCCACAAGATTTTTTGAAGTGATCAAGGGCCATAACTCTGGTAGTAATTATCAGAAATCGCTGAAAATCAATAGGATTCTTCGTCTTATGACCTCAAACACTGTGTATAACTTTAAAGTCATTCAGATATTAACTTTAGCCTCTGGAGCATCCGCAAGATTTTTCAAAGTGATCAAGGGACATAACTCTGGCAATAATTATCAGAAATTGCTAAAAATCAATAGGATTCTCCCCCCCCCCCCCCCCATGACCTTAAATGCTGTGTATAAATTTAAAGTCAATCAGATTTTAACTTTGGCCCCTAGAGCATCCACAAGATTTTTTAAAGTGATCAAGGGCCATAACAATGGCAGTAATTATCGGAAATCACTGAAAAACAATAGGCTTCTTCAACTCATGACCTTAAACACTGTGTTTAAATTTAAAGTCAATCGGATATTAACTTAAGATTGTGGACGCCGGACCGATGAACCAACGACAATATATGGCCACATTTCAATGTGGGCGTATAAAAAGCGATGTTTCGTACAATCAAGGGCCATAGTTCAGGGAGTTACGATCCGATATGCGCGAATATTGACAGGAACCAAGATCGTCGGGTTATAAAGATTATTTCAAGTTTCATCAAAATCGGATCAACATTGTGACTTCTAGAGGATCCAAAACCTTGATATACCATATATTTACACTATTTGCGTACAAGGGGCGAGCAGTTTGTCCGGCAGTTTTGGTCCGATTTTCACAAAATTCAAAGTCAGCCATCATTAAGGTGTAACGGTGATATATTCAAACGTTTTTTTTAAATCGGATAAAAATTGTGACCTCTAGAGTGTTCACAAGCTAAAAGCGTGATTTTTCGTACAATCAGGGGCCATAATCCTTGAAGTAATGGGCCGATACAAGCCAATATCGAAAGGAACCGAGATCTTTGTGAGATAGATCTATATTTCAATTTTCATCAAAATCGAATAAAAATTCTGACCTGTAGAGTGTCCACAAACAAATTGTGGACAGACGGACAGGGGCGACGACAATATACGTCCACATGAAAATATGGGCGTATAAAAATATACAATGCTAAATGATTAAATGTTTTGGTTATCTTGAAAGTCAAATGTTTGCTAATGAATCCTTTCTGATAAGAAAATGGTCAAAAAAATTTATTTACATGTACATAACTTTTAAATCAAAAATAATTTTGAAATATATATAAATATATATATATGGTTTTTATTCTTTTTATCTTTGGACAGTCACAAAGCAATAATCTACAGTAGAGTACTGTCTCTAAATCAAAAATAATACCAATGTTGATTAATTCTATATTCTTGACTAGTTTGAAATATATATTTTTGGTTTATTGTTCTCTTTTTATCTTTGGACAGTTACAAAGTAATAATCTACAGTACAGTATCATCTCTAAATAAAAAATAATATCAATGTTGATTAACTTAAATTTAAGATTTATTTGCTGATTAGACCCAATTCAGAAAAACAATATTAATGTACACATCACATAATTCTTAAAATACAGATATGATGTCACCTTTTGATGTTGCCGTACAATTATTTCAAATAATCGTACAGGCAACTTGCAAATCGTATATTATTTATACTAGTGAAATATTGGACTCGCGCGACATATTTCACGGTAAAAGCACGTGTGGAGTGTCTGTATTTTAAGTCGTTTAATGGTCTCGAGCTTAAGAGGGCCATTGGCCCTCTTGTTGTTACAATATATCTCTTAATGTCTCGCTCTCGACCATTAAACAATACATTAATCACATAACAATAATGTACTTGAACAGGTTGTCCAAGTCTACTTGTTTTTTAATAGCAGAAATAGTATTCTAGCACTAAAGCATACAATTTGCATCAAACCATTAAATTATATATTAAAAAAACCTTAAAATATTACAACTTAAAACATCAACATCTTTCACCTTGGATTAATTAACTAATAAAACACTTCTTTGGCACTGGCTATGTATTCACATTGTTTAACAGTTAATATAATAGTTATTATATTTTGTTGATGTTCTGCTATCTCTTGAAATATGTTGTAGAAAGCCTAATCCTTTTTGGTAAAGGTAAGACAAATATCTTCAATTAAAAAAAAAATACAAAAATATTGTATTTGTAATGGAGTAATTCGAACAGTTAAATCATAATAGACCACTGTATTACAGTAAGGCACATATGGATTCTCCAAGAATCATGTCAACAAAATTGTTTATTATACATGTATGTGTATACACTTCTACGATTTCCTTTTTGGTAAAGGTAAGACAAATATCTTCAATTAAAAAAATATAGCACAATATTGCATTTGTAATGGAGTAATTCGAACAGTTAAATCATAATAGACCACTGTATTAAAGTAAAGCACATATGGATTCTCCAAGAATCATGTCAACAAAATTGTGTATTATATCTTTATGTGAATACACTTCTATGATGTTCTTGCTCTTTTAGATGGTGGTTCATCAGGAGCTCCAACGACTTTGTCTTCTAGAAAACCTACAATATTCATAAAATACACTAAACATATTCAGACAAAATAAATTCCATTAATATGCTCTCCATAAAAATAAATAACATGAATGCTAAAAAGTGACCAGGTCCAGATTGTAGCTAAAAAGTAGGCTCATTCCTATAAATAATTTTCTCAATTCCCGAATTTCACATTTCCAGAAGGTGACACATCGTTTCTTGGTGGTCTAAACACTTAAGATTGAGCCCTTCTGCTTCTAGCTATCCCCTTCTAACCAGCAGAATGTTTAAGCAAATGTATACGACTCTCTTTACGATTTTCCGAAAAGATATTTACAGATTTAAGGTAGAACATAATAAATTGGATTGTTTGCCTTTTTGTTAGTTGTCCTGCATATTTCGAAGAAAGCAGGGGACTGTTAAAATGGATTCGTCTGTCCGTCACACTTTTTGGGACACAAAAACTCTCCTCTAATTGAGCTAGAATGTTCAAACTTGGTGTAGGTGTTTATTAGGTCAATGCCCTGATGAAGTTCGGAGATTAGCATTTTCTGCTAAGGGTAAGTAGAGATAAGCAATTTGATTGGTTGATGCTTTGGGACAGGATAACTTTAGTTCATTTTTAATGCACATTTTCTGCTAAGGGTAATCAGTGTTTGGAACACAGTAACTCTCATTCTAATTGAGCTAGAATGTTCAGACTTGGCGTAGGTGTTTATTAGGTGAATGCCTTGATGGAGTTTGAAGATGAGAATTTTCTGCTTAGGGTAAGCAATTTGATTGGTTGATGCTTTGGGGCACGATAACTTTAGTTCTAATGAACTGAGGTTGAGGACACTTGGTGTATAGTTTTATCACATCAATACCTTGACTAAGTTCGATAATGAGCATTTTTGCTCAGGGTAAGCAGAGTGATAAGCAATTTGATTGGTTGAGACTTTGGAACATAATCACTCTCCTTCTAATTGAGGTAGAATGTTCAAACTTGGTGTAGGCGTTTATTAGGCGAATGCCTTGATGGAGTTCGATGATAAACATTGTCTACTTATGGTAAGCAGAGATAAGCAATCTGATTGGTTGATGCTTTGGGGCACGATAACTTTGGTTTTAATTAAGTGAGAGTGATGAAACTCCAAGTATAGATTCATTACCTTGACTAAATTTGATGATGAAAATTTTCTGCTTAGGCTAAGGTCAAGGAGAGATTAGCAATTTGATTAGTCAAGACTTTGGAACATAACAACTCTGCTTTTAATTGAGGTAGAATGTTTAAACTTGATGTAGATGTTCATTAGGCTAAAGCTAAGTAGAGCTAAGCAATTTAATTGGTCGATGCTTTCGAACAAGATAACTTTGATTCTATCTGATAGAGAGTGATGAAACTTAGTGTATAGCTGATAAACAGCTTGATTGCTTGATACTTTTGAAAAAAATAAATGTGTGATTAATTAATATGTGTCATCTATTTATTTTGGGATTTCGGCAGGGGACATCAGCCTCAATGTTAGCTTGTTTGTTTTTTTTCAATCTGATTAAAACACAGATCCCGTTTCGTTTCGTTTTTTATAGTTCAAAATTTTGTTTTGTCTTCACTACACTAGGATCTGGAAGAGTTCTTATATTATCTGCGTTTTGCTTGAAGTGAGGGATTAGCCAATGATGAAACGGTATGTTATGGTGACTTCTTGGTGTACCATGCACGAAACTGTGGATAAACCACTAGAAATGTCAACGCTGATTGGCAACTTGTCAGATCTTCATGTAGTGTAGGTCATCGAAAGTATAACAGATGGGTTGCTAGGCAACGAAACATACGCCCACAGCAGCTAAATCGTCTGAGTGGTCGACAAGGGTTGACGCATATTTATTCTTTTGTAGGTAATTGGGGCCATTTACAAGACAATTTCATACAGATCAGATTATAATTTTTGTCGTTTGAGGGTTCACAAGGATCTACAAACTGAAACAAGGGCCTTAACTCTGGAAGTAATTTACAGAAAATTTTGAAATTTGACATGCTTTTTCGTTTTACTAATATAAATAATGCATATAAATTTCATACAGATTGGATGATAACTTTTGTCATTAGAATGTTCACAAGGTTCACAAAGTAAAAAAAAGGCCATAACTCTAGAATTGATGGAAATTGCTGAAATTCAATAGACCTCCGTTTTACAAATTTAAATGATGCATCTAAGTGAAACAAGGGCCAAAACTCTAGACGTAATAAACGGAAATTATTGAAATTCAATAGGCTTCTTCGTTTCACTAATTAAAATAATGCATGTAAATTTCAGAAAGATCGGATGATAACTTTTGGCTTTAGTGCGTTCACAAGGTTCAGTAAAGTGAAACAAGGGCCATAACTCTAGTCATAATAAATCGAAATTGCTGAAATTCAATAGGCTTCTTCATTTCACTAATGAAATGTGGATGACGGACGGACGGATGAAGGCGATGGCAATATACGTCCACAGGCCTTGTTTTTTTAGGAGCACAATCGCGCTTGCGCTCCTAAATTTTGTATCAGGAGCATTCATATTCAAATCCTAGAGCCATCAAAAAACAATGAACTCATTGAACTGAATCTCCGTGGTTTGTTATCGACGAAAAGGGGAAAACACTAGTTTGAAGACGGTTGATCACATGGCGTCATTTAATGACATTATGTTGATATAAGCGGCTCATACATTCGGAATTCTTCGCTGGCCGCTGTCTGAATAACTGGGTCGCTTATATCAACATCACATAATATGACCTATCTTTGATACTAGCATCATCTCATCTAGCCTCGCCAACAGGGATTGCCTATCGCGCAGAAAAATGGCTGCATTTAGCAGACGAATTCTTATTTTTATTCGATAAATCTTGTTTCCATGAATGATAGTTATATCCTCTTCTTGATGAAAATACCTTGACAACTTCATCTATCTTATCGTTATCTCAACTAACCTTGCCAACAGGGATCGCTTTTGCCGCAGCAAAATGGCTGCATTTAGCAGACGAATTCATATTGTTGATGTTATATTCTGTAAGTCTTGTTTCCATAAATGATAATTGTATCCTCTTCTTGATGAAAATACCTTGACAACTTCATCTATACTATATATGGAACACTAGTCAGTTTTTATTGCATATGTTCAGAATTTTTTGATAACTTTATGTATTCTTAAAGATATTAAACAAACAGAAACTTGATAGCATTTGAAGGAAGTAGATTATTTTATTTGGACTTTTTGGACATATAAAAAACGAAACAAAATATAGATCTGTATTTTAATTAGATTTTTTTTGATATTTTGAGTGTAGACTGTATCACTACATTCCCGGGACTTTAAGAGTGCAGTGGACGCTTACGGATCCATTCATTTGATTTGATATACACATTTGTTTTCATTGTTTGAAATAGCTGTAAATATTGTGTGTCTTGTCCGTGGGTTTGTCTTGTGTAATTGTTTGTGTGATGCGATTATCATGCACTTACTAATATTGTAACATACCTTTTTCTTTTCGTTTTAACTGAGCTTCATGTTGTATTTCTAACACAGCTCTTTTATCATCTTCCTAATAAAATATAATAATTAAAGGCCTCATGCATTAGTTGATAAGTTTATACAACTATTTCAACCATATAATTGAGCCACTGATTGCAAACATAAACTGATGAAAAAACCAGCGGCTGCCAGGCAGGATACGCCCACATTTTCGAGAAAACAAGCTAAAACGAAAGTGATTTTTCCTACAATCAAGGGCCATAATTCAGGAAATTACAATTCGATATGCGCAAATATCGAAAGGAACCAAGATCTTTGAGTTATAAACTTACATTTCAAGTTTCAACAAAATCGGATAAAAATTGTGACCTCTATAGGGTCCACAACCTTGATATACCATATTTTTACGCAATTTGAGAACGAGGGGCGGCCATTTTGTCTGTCAGTTTTGGGCCGATTTTCACGAAATTCGAACTCAACAGTCCTTAGGGTGTAACGGTGATATAATAATACGTTTTTTTAAATCGGATAAAAATTATGACCTCTATAGGGTCCACAAGCTAAAAACGCGATTTTTCGTACAAACAGGGGCCATAATTCAGTAAGTTACGATCCGATATGCGCGAATATCGAAAGGAACCAAGATCTTTGGGTTATAAACTTACATTTCAAGTTTCAACAAAAGCGGATAAAAATTGTAACCTCTATAGGGTCCACAACCTTGATATACCATATTTTTACGCTATTTGAGAACGAAGGGCTGCCATTTTATCTGTCAGTTTTTGGCCGATTTTCACGAAATTCGAACTCAGTCGTCCTTAGGGTGTAACGGTGATATAATAATATGATTTTTTAAATCGGATAATAATTATGACCTCTATAGGGTACAAGCTAAAAACGCGATTTGTCATACAATAAGGGTCCATAATTCATGAAGTTACGGTCCGATATGCGCAAATATCGAAAGGAACCGATATCTTTGTGTTATAAACTTACATTTCAAGTTTCAACAAAATAAGATAAAAATTGTGACCTCTATAATGTCCACAACCTTGATATACCATATTTTTACGCTATTTGAATTTGAGAACGAAGGGTGGCCATTTTGTCTGTCAGTTTTGGGCCGATTTTCACGAAATTCAAACTCAGCCGTCCTTAGGGTGTAACGGTGATATATTAACACGTTTTTTTAAATCGGATAAAAATTATGACCTCTATAGGGTCCACAAGCCAAAAAACGCGTTTTTACGTACAATCAGGGGCCATAATTCAGGAAGTTACGGTCCGATATGCGCCAATATCGAAAGGAACCAAGATCTTTGGGTTATAAACTTACATTTCAAGTTTCAACAAAATCTGATAAAAATTGTGACCTCTACAGTGTTCACAAACCAAAAACGTGATTTTTCGTACAATCAGGGGCCATAATCCATGAAGTTACGGTCAGATAGATGCCAATATCGAAAGGAACCGAGATCTTAGGGTGATAAACCTATATTTCAAGTTTCATTGAAATCGGATAAAAATTGTGACCTGTAGATGGTTCACAAACAATTGTGGACGAACGGACGGACAGGGGCAACGACAATATACGTCCACATGAAAATGTGGGCGTATAAAAATGAAGAAAAAATACATAAAATTTTAACATATACTGAGACACAATGAAAATGCATCAAGTGAATGATTGTAAATTTTGTTTGAGAAGTACAGTTTAATCTTGCTATTTCTGAATTTAACATCAGATCACAAAGATAACATGTGAGAATGATGTTTCACAATATTGTAAATGACCCACAGATCAATTCTCTCAAAACAAAACAATTGAATCTGACAGAATGTGAATACTGAAAAACTCGATTGATAGTGAAGACATGGGGCGTAGAATGTGGCTTTTAAAAAAAAAATAGGGTCAGTGCAACTCCAATAGTTGTGTGGAAGACATAACAATATGCCGAAGTTGACACCTGAATCTTGAGAATGCGTCATTGCGTTAATTCAAGAGAGCCAGATATGATGAGTAAAAGAGCCACTAGAACCAGGATTGAAAAGAGAGTGGAAAAAGTTCCCACATACAGCCGTTCAGAGGCTTATCTCCTCCATTTGGTGAAACTGCATGGTGTATGTGGCTGCTAGATGGATACACACGTTACTGACTTCATTTTTACTCATTGTGCCTATGTTCCTTGTAAAGTTATTTTTGCCTCTTTGGATTGTTGTTCATGGTCTTGTGTCGGTAAATGACCAGCCTACACTCATGCCAAATATTACATTTTGTTAGCACTTCTAGACAAATAAGTTGTGCGTTTTTATTGTGTCTCAATACATTATACGTACTTCTGGATTTGACCATAAAGAGCAGGCGGTACACTTGCTACAGTTGTGTCCTGGATCTCGTGGATGTTGACAAAAATGACTATAACTTATCTGTGGAGAGAAACATATGATATTACATTACATACACAAGAAATGTATTCATCAATCATCAATAAATAGTTATTAATTATGTGTGATTAAGATTTTTGTTTAAAAAAACATCTTTTAATTATAACACCTATCTTCAGATGAAGAAAGTATCAGGTATACATGGTGCAATTAATTCAATTAAGAGAAAGTTATTCAGATATCAATAACATCTTCATTTATCCATTACTTCGTTTAATTAAGCACGGAAATGAATAGTGTTTAATGTGAACACAATACTAAAGCCATTTTGAGACTAATATATATTTTTACATGAGAAATGATATGGATTTTGTCATGACAGTGGTGTTTCTGTCTACCTGTCTTCAACTTCCAACTACCAAGAGATATTTTTTATGCACTCCCAACTTGTATACAGATGTACTACCAGTATACGTATTTTCCATAGGCGGTTTCGTCTCTACCTCCACTAGGATCAATCCTTGTACATTCTTCTGTCACATACCCGTTTTTTATTTAGAGCAATGATGGCAAAATGACTTACATTAGGTTTTCTGCATATATAACACATAGAAGCACCACATCTACATGTCATCTTATTACATCCTTCATCTTTCATAAACTGTGATTTACATCTTACACATGTTCGTACTTTAGCTGCAGTCATTTTCTCTTCACTAGACAATCAAACAAAAATATATTCATGATCAAATCTATGTACCAATTTCTGAGTCAATGCAAAATTATGTGATAAATATGAGGAAAGGAACCAGCGGCTGCCAGGCAGGATACGCCCACATTTTGCAAGAGATGGATAGGGAACAAGCTAAAAACAAAACGATTTTTTGTACAATCAGGGACCATAATCCACAAAGTTATGGTCTGAAATGTGCAAATATCAAAAGGGACTGAGATTTTTGGAATATAAAGATGTGTTTTATGTTTCATCAAAATCGTATAAAAATTGTGACCTCTGGAGGGTCCATAACCTTTGTATTACATACTTATACACAATTTGCATACAAAGAACGGTCATTTTGTCGGGCAGTTTCATTTCGATTTTCCCGAAATACCAATTCAACCTTCATTATGGTGGAATGGTGATATATCTAAACGTTTTTTTAAACTTAGAAAAAAAAAATTGTGACCTCTAGAGAATCCATGTGATTTTTCGACCAATCAGAGGCCATAAGCCAGGAAGTTACGTTCGGATATGTGTGATTATCAAAAGGAACCAAGATTTTTATGATAAAAACATATATTTAAAGTTTCATCCAAATCAGATAACAACTGTAGCCTCTAGAGGGTCGACAACCTTGACATACCATAGTTTTACAATATTTGCGTACAAGGGGTGGTCATTATGTTCATCAGTTGTTGTCCGATTTTCACGCAATCCGAACTCAATCATCATTAGTGTATACCTGGGATATGTTTACACGTTTTTTTAAATCGGATAAAAATTGTGACCTCTATTGGGACCACAAGCTCAAAACGTGATTTTTCGTACAATCAAGGGCCATAATTCAGGAAGTTACGATCCGATATGCGCAAATGTCTAAAGGAACCATAAACATGCATTTCAAGTTTCATCAAAATCAGATCAAAATTGTGACCTCTAGGAGGTTCACAACCTTGATATACCCGATGTTTACACTATTTGCGTACAGGGGGCGGCCATTTTGTCTGGCAGTTTTGGTCCGATTTTCACAAAATTCGAACTCAATCATCATTAGGGTGTAACGGTAATATACTAAAATGTTTTTTTAAATCGGATAAAAACTGTGACCTCTAGAGGGACCACAATCTAAAAACGTGATTTTCCGTAGAATCAGGGGCCATAATTCAGGAAGTTACAATCCGATATGCGCGAATATCGTAAGGAAACAAGATATTTGAGCTATAATAATGCATTTCAAGTTTCATCGAAATCGAATCAAAATTGTGACCTCTCGAGTGTCCACAAGCTAAAACCGTGATTTTTCGTACAATCAGGGGCCATAATCCATGAAGTTATGGTCCGATACATGCCAATATCGAAAGGAACTGAGATTCTTGGGAGATAGACCTATATTTCAAGTTTCATCAAAATCGGATAAAAATTGAGATCTGTAGAGTGTCCACAAACAGATGGTGGACGGACAGGGGTGACGATAATACATAGAGAGAGAGAAATGGGGTTTAACATCCACTAGACACAAACTAGGTCAGTTTGGGAATACCATATGGTTTAATTTTATTTCAATAATTCGCTTGCGTGTAGGGGTCTTTAGCAGTGGGAGGAAACTGGAGGACCCAGAGAAAACCTATGAGGTTGGACAGGCGACCCTGCTCCTTGTCACGTACAACCGCGGAATCGAAACCATGCCAGTTGACTCAATAACAGACTTTATGATTCAGCCATCCAACACCCCCCCTCCCTCGACAATAATATAAGTCCACAAGAAATCATGGGTGTATAAAAAGGAGATACAAGAGAATAGTTGTAAAAAAAAATAGCTCCAGTTAAAATTTAGTTACTGTCCCTAGGGAAGTTGTATTTTAATGCTCAAACCAGTTGCATATTCTATTATTTTCTACATACTTAGTAGCGGTACTAAGTTTACAAGAAGACTCACCCAGTGCCTTTGTATGCCAAAAAAAAAGTAAGTCAAATTTTTTTCAATGGAAACAGAAAAATCATCAAATCCAAGTAATTTCTAATTAGCAACTACTATAATAAGTTGATGTTTGTTTGTACGAAGTTTCATAAAGCTATCTTGAACAGTTTATGAGATATGCACCGGAAATGAAACTGAGGTGGAAGGATGGATGGAGCTCATTTCAATAACTCTGATTTTAACTATGTACAACACTGGATAACATACTAAAGATATATGAAACATTTAAGAAAACTCTTCTACTCACTATTCTTTTCTTAAAGTCATTTCATCTTTCTTTTCTAGTTCACTACAAGGTATACCCATATGATCTTTCCATTCTTCTTTACAGAATCTACACGTTTCCTTAAAATATACATTTATTTTCTTGATATATCAATCATGATTTCCCTTTGACTCGGAGTTGTATCTTGAGCATAAAATACATGTGCATTGAGAAAATGAGTAACTCTAGATATAAAAGCTTTTTAAGGTCCCAAGAAGTATGGCAATAGCAATATATGATAAATCAGTAATTATTACCTTTAAACAATGAATATTTTGGCATCTAAAAACTTTATCACCAGGATCTAAAATAGCAGCAAAATCACAACCAGGACACCTGTTTTAAAATTAAAGATTCAATTCATTCAAAAAAGTTACAATGCTATCTAAACATGCAAATACCAATATATAAATATCACAAAAGCTTAAACAGGCCTTTTATCCTAATTTTACAATTACGGAACAAGGCGGGGAACAGCAACACTCTGATAAAAGAGAAGCAGTGACACCTTTATAATGGTGAGGATTTATATTATGTACAGTAAAAGATTGTTAAATCTATCTACATTTAGTGATTTAAAAGATTGAAAAATAAATGAATAAATTATATATAAAATTATCAAAACAAATTGTGTTTTTTTGTAAAACTGATTATCTCAAATTATAGAATCATTTTTGATATACTGGTAATTAAAAGTTCATTTATGATAAAAGGTTAAATTCTTCGTTGATCTTTTATTCAGTAAATATGGAAAATTACCTTACTAAATCTTCTATATCAGCCAAATTGAGATTTTCTTCTCTAACTCGGTCTTGATACTTTTCTAGAACATCCTGAGCCAAACACAACTCTAATTGGCCTTCAAAATGAAATTATTAGCAAATCTTACATAACCATTTCCAAATCAGTAATTTATTCATTTTACATGATATGAAAATAGGTAAAATTAATAGAAGTAATATAATGAAATAAACAAAATATATGATTGAAAACTTACTTTCAGGAAAAGATGAGTCACATCTATCTGTCATACATGACAAATCCAGCTAAAACAAATTAAATATATAGAAAGAGTGACAAGATATTTTGCATTTATTCTAAAACATGTTTGATAGAAAAGAAGTTGAATCTTCTATATATACTCATCACAATCAAGTTTAAAATCAAATCTCCAGTGCTGCATCATATCAATATAATGTATAATTCTACCCCCCATGATGAGAGATAGCAACACTCTAAATGTGGAACATCTTGAATCTAAATAAAATGTCTAGATTCGGATACAAAGCTATCGATGACACTCTACAGTTTATGCACAAAATTTGAACAAGACCTTTCTTTTTATTATTCTTTAACATATAAATTTTATGGTATCCAATTCAATCCATTCAAGGGTTGAATTTTTGAATTTGTTTTCATAGAATAATAATCAACTACCTTTCCTGAGCCAAAGACAGCCTCTTTCACATAACTCTGAAGACAAGTTTTACAAAAAAGATGACCATCAAAGCACTGAACCATGTTTTCAAATGGATGTTCTCCATAACAACATAAACATTCAATGCTTTCACCAGCTTCTTCATACTGATCTTCATTTAACTTCATTGCCAGCTGGGCATCTGCATTCTGACAAATATATGAATCTGATTATTTATCATACAAATAGATAAATATTTCAGAGGGATATTAGATTCTCCCTACCTATTATTTTAACATAATACCTTGTACATTTTCCATATGGCTAGTGTGAGTGGAGGACAAATTTGAAAGCCTAACCCATATTTCAGAGCGGAGAAAAATTTCTTCATCTCATCTAAATATCAAAACCATAAAAACACATACAATGTTAATTCAAATAATAGATAATTGTAGGTTCACATAGAGCAGTTAAAACCAGATTGAGACTCGAGAGTTCCAACAGAAAACTTGTAAATTTACCACACACTTTGATTCACCACTTACCAACTTCTCCTTTTTATTCATGTTGGCAATAAAATCCATCTCCATTTGTAATTGTTTTGTCATTCTTACAGATTTTGCTGCTCTCTTACACTTCAACAGTCTGCTTTTAATAGATCTCTGGACACCAGCTAAAATGTATGGTCACATTTTATGTATCTAATATAAATTGGAATTCTATAAAGTGGAGACTAAAATTTTTAGACATACTCACTCCGCAAGGAATACACTGTAATTATTAAGTTATTTTGTAATTGTTTTAGCTATTCATTATTTTATGCTGTATTATGCATGCAAATGTGTTCATGTGCTAATGACTAGGTGTGACCAGCAGAACAAACAGTCCGAAATATTTACAATTGACATGATATGATGCCTTCATTATTTCATTTGTTGTATTTATGGTAAGCTTATGAATCGGCTTTTCTGATTTTTAAAGGTAAAACAGATGAACATCCAATTATATGGCATCTATTTTTAAGATATGAACTATAATTTTCTTACCATTATCTACCATACAGATGTTTAATTCTTCTATTCTTTTACCATTTTTTAATGAATCTGAAAACAAACAAATGTACATATGCAGCAAAGATAGGTTGCCAGGCAATGAAACATATGCCCACAGCAGCTAAGTCGTCCAGGGTGTCAACAAGGATTGTCACATGTTTTTTTTTTGTGTCAGAAATGAAAACATTTACAACACACTAAAATCTGATTACAAGTAACAACCCATTTGGCTTCTAGTTCTGCCCTATTCTAACATTTAGCACACATAACATTTAATATCAATTTCAATAATCATTGGAAATCTTTGAAAATTGACAGGCTTCTACATCTCATGACCTTAAACACTGTGTATAAATTTAAAGTCAATCGGATATTAACTTCATTGGAAATCGTTGAAAATAAATAGGATCCTTTGTCTCGTGACCTTAAACTTAAACACTGTGTATTAATTTAAAGTCAATCGGATATTAACTTTAGCCTCTACATATGTCCACAAGATATTTCAAAGTGATCAAGGGCCATAACAATGGCAGTAATCTTCAGAAATCGTTGAAAATAAATAGGATCCTTCGTCTCATGACCTTAAACACTGAGTATAAATTTCAAGTCAATCGGATATTAACTTTAGCCTCTAGAGCGTCCACAAGATATTTCAAAGTGTTCAAGGGCCATAACAATGGCAGTTATTATTGAAATTGTTGAAAATCAATAGGATCCTTCGTCTAATAACCTTAAACACTGAGTATAAATTTAAAGTCAATCGGATATTAACTTTAGCCGCTAGAGCGTCCACAAGATATTTCAAAGTGATCAAGGGCCATAACAATGGCAGTAATTATCGAAATTGTTGAAAATAAATAGGATCCTTCGTCTTATGACCTTAAACACTGAGTATAAATTTAAAGTCAATCGGATATTAACTTTAGCCTCTAGAGCGTCCACAAGATTTTCCAAAGTGATCAAGGGCCATAACTCTGGCAGTAATTATCGGAAATCACTGCAAATCAATAGGATTCTTCGTCTCATGACCTTAAGCAATTGTGGATGCTGCAAACGGACGGACGGATGGGGGCGACGACAATATACGACCACATTTCAATGTGGAGGTATAAAAACCTATAAACTGAAAAAAGCTAATGGCACAAGTTGCATGAAATAGAGTATGAATAAAAAGCGTCCACAAGATTTTTCAAAGAGATCAAGGGCCATAACTCTGGCAGTAACTATCGGTAATCGCTGAAAATCAACAGGCTTCTTCGTCTCATGACCTTAAACACTGTGTATAAATCTAAAGTCAATCGGATATTAACTTTAGCCTCTACAGTGTCCACAAGATATTTCAAAGTGATCAAGGGCCATAACAATGGCAGTAATTATCAGAAATTGTTGATAATCAATAGGATCCTTCGTACCATGACCTCAAACAAAAGTCAATCGAAACGATGATATATAGGCATGAACACGGTGTGTAAATATAAATCAATCAGATGATAACTATGGTCTCTAAAGGATCCACAAGATTTTTCAAAGTGACCAAAAGCCGCAACTCTGGAAGTAATTATCGGAAATCATTGAAAATCAATAAGCTTCTTCTTCTGATGATCTTAAACACTGTGTATAAATTTAAAGTCAATCGGTTAGCCTCTAGAGCATCCACAAGATTTTTCGAAGTGATCAAGGGCCATAACTCTGGCAGTAATTATCAGAAATCGCTGTAAATCAACAGGCTTCTTCTTCTCATGACCTTAAACACTCTGTACAAATCTAAAGTCAATTGGATATTAACTTTAGCCTCTACAGTGTCCACAAGATATTTCAAAGTGATCAAGGGCCATAACAATGGCAGTAATTATCAGAAATTGTTGATAATCAATAGGATCCTTCGTACCATGACCTCAAACACTGTGTATAAATTTAAAGTCAATTGGATATTAACTTTAGCCTCTAGAGCGTCCACAAGATTTTCCAAAGTGATCAAGGGCCATAACTCTGGCAGTAATTATCGGAAATCACTGCAAATCAATAGGATTCTTCGTCTCATGACCTTAAGCACTGTGTATAAATTTAAAGTCAATGAGATTAACTTTAGCTTTTAGAGCATCCACAAGGTTTTTTGAAGTGATCAAGGGTCATAACTCTGGCAGTAATTATCGAAAATCACTGAAAATGAATAGACTTCTTCGTCTCATGACCTTAAACACTGTGTATAAATTTAAAGTCAATCGGATATTAACTTTGGCAATTGTGGATGCTGCAAACGGACGGACGGATGGGGGCGACGACAATATACGACCACATTTCAATGTGGAGGTATAAAAACCTATAAACTGAAAAAAGCTAATGGCACAAGTTGCATGAAATAGAGTATGAATAAAAAGTTGCATCCAATGATCATCAATCTTTATTCATATATTAGTCCATCCTCCTGTACAAGTACACTTTGCTATGATGTGTTATGCCATCATGCCAAATTATCATTATATATTTTAGGACAAATGCTCCGTCTGAATGGAGACAAGGTGATTTCCTTTACCAATCACAGCCTAATTCTCATCTATGATTTAGTTCAAACGAAATGGAAATTTCTGCTTGAAATTTGAAAGCCTGACCTAACAATTTTATCAGATCATATCAATAGATAAAGCAACATAGATGACAGAGATTTTGTTCAAGATAATACATGTCTTGAAATGAAACGCAGGACTGTGTTAACTTGACTCAAAAAGTTAATAATTGTACATTAGGAAACAAGACGGGAAAAGGCAACACTTCCTTAAAAGAGTTGCAAACCTGTCCACCTGCTGGATGAAAGGATGATGGCAGCGGAAAGAGTAGACATAAAATGGATATTTAAAAATCCCCGCTCTACATCAGTACAAGAACAGACTCTATGTAGAAATGAGAGGTACCGTAGTTTATTCATAACGTTTCAGGTTAGGAGACACTTTATTAAAGCAGGGATTTTTAAATATCTATTAATTGTACATTACCTGCATATGCTGCCTGTACAGCATTAAATATAGATCTATAGGATGGAGCATAATAGTTGTTATAAAACTTCATGATGTTATTTATATCTCTTACAGAAACAAACGGAAAGTCATTCTGAAGTTGTTTATTTACTTCCTCCATGTAATTATAATTTATTTCCTTAGGGTAGTCTTTATAGTAATCTATAGTAGATGATTCAGGTTTCTGAAAAACAGAAAAAAATAATTCTAATATACAATAAATTCTAGTAAGAAGCCATAAATCAACCATTCAGAAGTATTCCCAGTTAATAATTCATTTACACAAAAGTGCAAACTTATATATGCCCACACAGCAGCTTTGTCTGAACTGCAGCTTATCCAAAAAGAAAATTTGGATGTTGAGCAAATTTGATAAGGATCTAGAATCCTTGAAGAAATTTTATCCCTAGGACTCATTCTCTTATGACCCCATTGCTTCCAACCAAATTAAAAATCACATGTCAACAAAATATTCAAATCCCGTAAGTAATAAAATTGGTGAACCTCGCTATTTTTCACATTTAATTCCTGTACGGCATTCAAATATATGTCAGTAACATTCCTACAAAATTAAGCATTTTCGTAATACATTGAATGGAAGCTTGCCGATCCTGCTTCGGCATCAAATTCACAACCCTAATATTCCTTCAATATTACGTGTCTCCGTTTATACAGCAGCAAATGAATGCAGAACTTTTGAAATAAGTTAGTTTGTGATGTCAGAACATCGTTTTTTCTTTATAAAATGTCAACAAAATATTCAAATCTATACATAACAGAAATAGGAACACCTCACTATTTTTCCTATTTAATTCCCGCATGGTTATGGTATTCAAATGTATGTCAGTAATATTCTTACAAAATTACGTGTTTTCGTAATACGATAGAATGAAAGTTTGCCGATCCGTACCTGCTTCAACCTCAGCAAGTAATATTCCTCCAAAATTACATGTCTTGGTTTATACAGCAGCAAATGAAAGAAAGGTGTTCGAAATAATAATACTTGTGGTGATGACAAAACACCATTTCCTTCTTTATAAGTCAGTATTTTAAAATTACATTGATAGTTAAATCACTGGTAAAAAGGCATAGCTAACTCCAGCGTATTTGTCGTACGTGACTCATAGCACATAGCTTCATAGTAAGCTCTGCCTTATATGTTAAAGCAATTTTCGTGTGAATGCTTGAGATCACAGGAAAGTGCCACTGTGGATGAGAATTTCTATGGAGTCTTAAAAGACGTAGAAGAAATCGCAGTCCATTGATTTAGGGTGTTATATACTCTTACAATATGTGACATCTATGACTAGTTTATAGATGCTGTCGGCTCACATCAATGCGATTAAAAAGGTTCGACAATGGAGAAACCACGAGGTAAACATGTGGATTGAAATTATAATCACTCTTATTGGATTGATGAATAGTCCGACAAAGGGGAAGCAATGACTTCTGTTTAAGATGAAATTGATGAATTGTCCTACGAAGGATTAAGTCAGTCAACCATGGCAGATTAAGTAGTTAATCAAGGTAGGTGTATAGACGGTATAACACGATAAATAAGCTGATCACTTAATTACCTAATCAATCCTGCCTATTATCAACGATAATCGGGTTGAGTGGTAGTTATACCCTCTGTATACTATATTAATTTTGGAATTTTGAATACTATTCACCATGTCTTGATGTCCGATTGGGCGTTTGGAAAATAACAATACTTACAAAAGGTGTGTGTGTTGTTGGCGAGTCTGTGATTATAATTACTTGTTTTTTCGGGTAATCAGGATTATCTAGTAAAGCAGCACACACATTATTGACTGCTGCAGGTCCTGCATGTGATAGTAACAGCCGATCTACATAATCTGGATCAACATCTGCGAATAACTGGAGCTGTGAACAAAAATTTATAATGGATTAATTCAGCTTGCAGTTTAATTTGAAAAATATGTGGATGGTGTCTGATGTCCCCTATTAAACAACATGCTGAAACATCCATTACAAAAATCAATAGAATCCCTTGAAATTATTTGTTCTGTACATTTTTGTGAACAAGCACACACAGAAAGCATACCAAGGCACCCACATATGGAAAGCCTGAATTTAATGGCCCCTTTGTCTTCAAAACATTGCATGGTACTACAAACCATAGTCACAAAATTATTGATGTAACCTACGCATAAGTTTCCCCGTTTAAAAACTCTATGTTTCCTAAATAAATATTCTAAAGCTATTCTTACCACTTCTTTAACCTGTTTATTGTTTGCCGACATGTTGATTGTTGAATGTGTAACTTCTGTAATGGGTGAGGCAGTAGATCTAATGGTTGATGAATTAGAAGGGGTAGTTAAGGTGTTACTAATTACACTGCTGTTAGATTTTGGTGTTGTGACAGTGCTGGTAAGAGTATGAGTAGACCTTACAGTAATGATGGGTGGAGTTATTAACGACTCGGCATTAATTATGTTCGGCACAGTGACACCACTTCCAGCAGTAGCAGGTTTGATAGCATAACCAATATCATTATCTGTATTGTCTTTTATCATACTATTTATATTTGTAATATTAGCCTTTAGAACATTACTAGTTATGGTACTGCTACAGGTACTTGGTTTTAACACACTAGAAGCTGGCACTACCCCATTAATGCTTAATTTTAACAGATTATTTTGGCTAATACTTGGTGCTAACAAAGTATTTTTGATACTAGTAATAACCGGTTTCAGTGCACTGTTCTTACTACAGTTAGTATTAAGTCTCTCTACAGTTATAACATCTGGTAAGCTTTGAGAATTTGGAACAGAATATAAAGATCCCTCAACTGGCTGTTTACGGTTATTTGTAATGTAATCGTTCAGTCTGTTTTTTATGCAAATGTTATTTTGCTCATGTGTATCAGTCACTATGGAAGAAACAGAAGTTTTTGTGGAAGAAGTAAGAGTTTCATTGTGTCCCAATATTCCACCAAGAGAAGAGTTTCTATGCTGCACGCTGAAATGAAATGAGTTACAATAAAGATATATAACTAGATCTGCCAGGCAGATATGAAAACTTTCATATTCACGGTCACTTCCTGTCACATGTCATGGGCTATATAAAGAATCTAAATAAGGAAAAATAATTATTAAAATCAGTCAAAAACGCAGGAAGTTATAAGCCTAAATATAGCGAGACATATTTCACCTAGGCAGAAAAATAATTTGAAAAATAAGGGAAATCACTGAGACTTATATTGCTGTAATCGGATTGACTTCTCATTCCAGAAGTTTTAGAAAAATGGATGAAACTGTTTAAAAACGGAATGGATAAAAGAATGAAATGAAAAGGGCGGGAAAGAACTCAGATATGGCGGGAAAATATCGAAAAAATTAGATAACTTTGAATGGAACTTATATTTTTGGAATCAAACTGACCTCAGCTATTCGAATATGTAGTTCTAATTTGTAAATTTTAAAAATTAAGGAAATAAATTGTCCTCTAAACAACTTTGTTGGCACGAAAAAGGTCAAAGGCGAAATTCGAAATTATGAAATTTTGAAAAACCAAAAATTTGACCCTGATTCCGGCTATCCAGAAATATATTTATTTTGGAAACAAGAGACGAATTCTCCAAACTACAGCCTATTGTGTTTATTTTAAAGGCCATTAATGTGGATTTTTCACTTTTGTCAAATAAAATTCAGAATGGTGACAGTAACTGAATTCAAAAACGCTGCTCTGCACGTATCTTTTGGCATTCCATCAAAGATTCAGATAATGTAACTCTGATGTCTGTAAGTAAAATATTGCAAAAGTCTTAAGGATTTTTCACATTTCAAGATGGTGGCACTTCCATATTATGTGTATGCATCAGTAGTGTCTTAGCTAGTACAGAAATAAATTTTCAAGGCAACCAAACCTATATTTTGTCGATTTTTGGGAAAACTTTGATCCTTTATATTTCCAAGGGGAGGTAAGTTAGAAAATTTCTAACGACAAGTTTCACGAGAATCGTGATAATATTAAAGAAGTTGTCAAGTTGGATTTTACTTCCGGGATGAGATGTCAATTACGTTATTGTCAAATTCGAAAATCGGATATAGCAGATTGAAAGTAAATGCTTTAAGGTACTCACAGAAAAGAATTAGTGAAATAGGTGAAATAGTCACAAAGTTACAGCTATGTTGGTCAACTGTTTTTGTCAGTAAAGTTCGGTGATTTTGGATTCATAAAACGTTTTGAAAATATATTCATTCCAAAGCTACCATCCATTCATGGGAGGTAGGTCAAAGTTTCAGAAAGATCTTATGGTTAATTTCTGAGATATAAACTTGGCAAGAAAAACACAAAACAATAATAAGAATAAGAATAATAATCTTAACAAAAACAATAAGCTTTCATATAAATATGAAAGCTTAATAATAGCATAATATGAATAATTGATATAGGTTCAATACCAGTAGTAAAGACAAACTACACACATGCCCTCTAGCTTCTGAACAGTCACTCCACATATTGTAGTACAAAACAAATGGTGAACTATCCTTAAGCCAGTTGATTATCTAATAAGATTGTGAACCTTTAGTCAATGAGATTATTCATACTAAAGACAGATAAGACATTCCAACTTTCCAGTAAATGGCTTATCACAGATCTGGATTAGTATTAGCACAAAAATAATAGTTTTATACAACTACTTATGTATTAGGCAATGCACAAAAACTGCACATAAAATAGAAGCAGAACAGAAGATGAAATGAAATAAGGCTTAACATCTTACTTTTCTGCAAGATTAATGATAGGACCTGAATACACAACAGACAATACAATTATATGTCCACATATTCTCTGATTTACAAACGTCAGAAAATTGGTTTTCAGCTAATTCATTTAGCGTGTTTATTAGTAAAATTTGAGTTCTTTATTTAATTTTCCCTTGTAATTTCTTTTGGTCTAATTACTGATAATTTTTGAGAGAATATATTTTTATGCTATGAAAACACTTAATGAAAATCTGCAAATAAATCTATTCAAAATGTCATACAAGTTGGACATAATAATAATATGTCATTTGATTAAAATGTACATGGAGATACAGCTGAGGATTATCCGTTACCAGATCTAGGAAGCACTACTTTTAAAGGTTTATTTACTCACTTCATCATTTTGTCAGGTATTGCCTTAGCATCTTTTACAACCTTGTTAATAAAATCAGTAAATGATGTTGATTGTTTACTGCTAGGTATTGGTCCTTGATTACACTGAGTAGGAGTCAGCTGTTTAACATGGGAACACTGAGTTTCCTTTATTTTGTCAGGTGAACTCATCACAGGGGTTAAACTTGCAGAAGTGCAAGGCTGGGTTGCCTTATAAGTGTTACATGTACCAGATATTGAGGTATCATCTGTTATGAAAGTTGATGTCACTGATGAATCATTTTGACTGCTATCGCTATTTCTGTTAACTCCTTTTCTAAATTTCATGTTGAGTTTAGGCAACTCGTCCAAACTACTTTCATACACAGTGACTACATTTTGTGTTTTACTTGGTGAAAATTGTTTGTCTATTTCAGTAATGCCACTAGATGTTTTAGTATTATTACTGCTATTATCATGTTTATCAACAGTACAGTTTTCTAATACTGAATATGTTTTTTCTGCACTTGACAAGGCAGCATTGCAGTCTGCTGTAGGTGTAAGGCTAACTCTGGTCGATTCTAACAATGACTTATCAAGAGGTGGAGGTGGTTTCACTGATGCAAACTTGGTGGATGCTGAAGCTGAACATATCGGAGATGGAGTTTGGTCATCCCCAGGTACAGGCCAATTCATTATTTGACAATCATCATCTAAATCTGTAATATAATAAACACCATAAAATTAAGGTAACCTAGCTGAGCTGTTCAAAGTACTTACAATAACCACCAGACATTGGGTAATCGTACTCAATCATAATTGATTACATGCAATTGTAATTTAATCGTTTACTGTTGAAAATATGCTTTATCATGATTATTTTCTGATTACTTTTTGTCAACCACTGTCAAGCCATTTATTAAAGCAACTAAAATGATATTCTCAAGTTTCATGAAGTAATTTGCACACGGTAGTTAATACAAAAAGTTCAATGGTATGCCATTGGTTATTATTTCATATCCTTACCATCACTATTAGATATACAAACTGCTTGAGCATCAACTTCATATAACAAAGCGTCATTATCCAATATAAAATCAATACAAATCTGAGTTAGATTTTGAACTTGTGGTGTAAAGGAGCACTGGTACTTTACCACAGCAGTTAAAGTTCTTTTATTAAACTGTGAAAATATCATACTGAGATGATCAACTACACCCTGTTCTCTGTTTGAAATATTACTGGAGATCAAAAAGTTACTGCAAAAGATAATAAAATAATACTAGGTAATAAGCTAATACAAAAATAAGAATTATTTTTTAAAGACAAAGTGCACACAAACACCAAGTTCCAGCTGTGAATATAAATTATATACTTGTACCTCCCTGTTGTTATTCACCTGGCATTAGCAGCAAAAATGTTTTTAATGTCAACAGTTGATATTGTTTTGGACACCATTTATCATATTAAGAAAGAGTCAAAGACTGATATATTTGCATATTTGGATTAAGGTAAAATAAAAATGGAATGGAATAGTGTTTAATGTCCGGTCAAAACAATACTTTGGCCATTTTGAGATAAATAAAGTAGTGAAAGATATGATCACATATGGGTCTGCAATGCAACTTGGGTAGAGAAATGAGATAAACATTAATCATTTATTTTTTTATCAACTAAAGGGAAAAGAAATGGCCATCTCCAATCCATTCAGAGAAAATCCAGAGAACCTAATCATAGCAGCTAACAGAATAAGAGAAAAAACATGTGTTGTGTTAGAGAATTTCTAAGTTATTTATTGTGTTGAAAGTTATAATTACAAATTAACAATATCATGTTAAAATATTTAAAAAATTGTAATATTACAAAATTTGCAATATTACAAAATTTATTTTAGGTTAAGCTATATTTACAAGTTTATTTTATAGGTAAGTGAAGATGCAATACCTGATGATTTTTTATTGATGGGACTTTTAAAATCGTGAAAAAGCACTTTTATCACCATTGTAAATTATGTATTTAGATGTATTATGTATGTGAAATATTATTGAAATAAATTTTATAGTTTGTATGTTTATACAAGCCTATTTATACAATGTATTATGTATGTGAAATATTATACATGTAGTTTGTAAATGTCTAAGTAAATTTACGTATTAAATTAATGTTTATGTTGTTATGTATGTATTTATATTATGGTATTATCTATTACGCAACATTTATGTTAATAAATATCATTTCGTACATGTAATAAATGGTATGTTTTGGGTTTTTTGGCCATTACAACCAAATTTTTGGGCTGTTATGACCAAATATTTTGGCTGTTATGGTTTAGGGCCGTTATCTCTATAACCCGACATGACTCCCATTTGTTTAGAATCAGGCTTAGGAATTGGATTTTGCAGGGTTGTCACATTAAAAAAATCATGAATGCCGAAAAATTTGGCTGACAGCCACTGACGCTTACGAAACATAAAATAACCTGTCAAAATGTTTCAGTACAGAATATGCATTATCTTGATACCACTTTTATATCTTAGCCGAAATCGTGGTATGATACTGAACAAGGGTTAATCAGGCACATGCCAATCTCTATCGACTTTTACTTTCACTCTTTCAGTTTTCACTCGTTTTCTGATTTGTTGGTTCATTAAAGATTACAGTCGTACCTCAAAGATTCTTTAACATCCATAGCAATTTCAGAATTAGACCACTAGCTTCTTGTTCCAAACACGGGATGGCTAGTGTAAAAAAAAATATCAAAGGTGCACGTTCATCAAAACAATATAATCTGTAAAATCAAAAAACACATAAAAACCCGCCATATTGGTAAAGGGGAATAACTCTCTATTGTTTGTAGGAAACAGTTTTCCTGGAAACTTGTTTCGGATGGTGAAGGTAGTCTGAACAGTATATTTTTGAGTAAGTTTGGTTGACATGTAAGCTTACGCATATAAGAATTTATGCTTTACAACTGTACAGAATGTATACTCTGTTGTGTGAGGTGATATATATCAACTACACATTACACGCAGTATCAGCAAGGCAAATTCGGTCGGAAATGGAGTTATTTCCCCTGCGCAGTGTTGCGGTCAATCTGGTTGCGACTTTTATGTAAAGGCTAAAAGCTGTTGCCCCTTCAGATTTCGTCATGTCGAGAGGAGGAGAAATGGGGTTTAACGTCCACTCGACACAAACTAGGTCATTTCGGGACTAACACATGGTTCAGTTTTATTTCAATAATTCACTTGCACGTAGAAGTCTTTAGCAGTAGTGAGAGGAAACCGCGCCTACAATCGTGGAATCGAAATCACGCCAGTTGACTCAATGACAGACCTTATGATAGGCCTACAGCGCGCTCGTGCTAATCATTCGACCATCCAACCCCGCTGATTTCGTCATACATCACGAGATGTATATATATAGGGGCCCACGTGATTGTTGACGAGATGGTGGGTTGTGGAGAAATAAAAATATTTTTATTGATATTATTAAGACAGAAGACCCGTCGGTCTGTTTTAGTCATCACACGGTCTCCAGGAATTGTATAATTTGTCATTAATCTATGTATTAAGTGTATTGCACTTTTTAGTTTAGATGTCATTTGTTAAGACCTCGCTCAACAGCGGCCACAGAGTAAAAATACTCTGTGCAGCGGCCGCGCTTCGTACACTCTATCATTTAGCCTCGATCTAAAATTTCCGGGAGTATGACGCCAACGTAACGGTTAATCTCCGCTCACGACGCCATTTAAAAATTTAATCAATCAATAATTAAATCGAAGTTGAGATGAATAAAATATAATTCAATTTTCGAGTGATATATTACAATTATCACTAAAAATTATAACTTTATTGTCTCTAATCCATCGAAATGACGTTTCGACCCGGCTTCTAATTTTAAAAAATTTCCGGGGGAGGCCCTCCCCCCCCACCGGACCCCCGTTGCATGCTCATGCCTGAGGCATTCGATGTGGGCGGCAGCGCCGCCCACACGCCCCGCGGCCAGTTAATTTTAATTTACCATGAACACCCTTGCAGAAAATTGGGCCCCACCCCCCGAATTTTTTTTTTTGCACGACGCCCCTGCTAACCCTAACCCGTACCCTAAACTTAAACTGTGGTCCATGACGAAATTCTCAATTGATAGACCTAATCGGGTTTTATATTAGAAAGATATGACGTCAATGAAATTAAATGGGGTTTAAATTATTTAACGAGCTATTTATCTGCAGAGATTTGATAATCCTTAAATTAACGTCTTGGGGGAATTATTTGTCGCTTTGAGCACTTGTTTTGTTAATGATAATTGAATTGTTTGATGTCCATGGCGATCCCGTAAGATTCCCATCTATATTATTTTCTTTTAGTTTTATTTTAATTGTAAGGCCTACCACAAAAGATTGATAATTGTAGGCCTACCTTTGAACTACAACTCTATAATTCGAGAATGTATGGAAATAGCTATCTTGTTATACGCAAGGGCTTTGTAGTGAATGGAAAACACAATGGCGCGCTTTGCCTCATGGTTTTGAGTTTTTGCAGCCCTTTAAGTTATTGTGCCCCCTAGCTCTCAAATGGAAAAAAGGGAACCACGTGGTTTCAATGATAGTCATAATGCTTAACAAGTGTCAAACATAGACCATGGTTCAAATATGGTACAAATGGACATGACTCTAGCATGCTCCATACAGCCCAAATTTTAACAAACCAGCCACAAAACGATATTTTCCTAGGGCCTAAATACTGGACTGGAGGGTTTGCATGCTACCACAGGACCTTGTTTCCCATCGAAAATCATACGTCACCGGTCACGCCCCTGAATATAAGGGACTATCGAAGATTCGGCTGGCATGTGGCATGACATGTATTAAAACTACGAACTCATTGCGAAAATACAAGCCTATCCTATATGTTTATTTTCAAGTATCAGCTCGAGCTATTAAAAAGACATGCGGTTTGCGCATATTCGAGTCTCGTTAAGGCGGATCAGGTTCAAACTTATTGTCCCCCCGCCTTTCGAAGAAAGCAGGGAACTATTAAAATGGGTCTGTCCGTCTGTCACACTTTTTGGGACAAAATAACTCTCCTAATTGTCATCCGCCTTTCGAAGAAAGCAGGGGACTATTAAAATGGGTTCGTCCGTCTGTCTGTCCGTCCCTCCGTCCGTCTGTCCGTCACACTTTTTGGGACACAATAACTCTCTTTCTAATTGAGCTAGGTGTTTATTAGGTCAATACCTTGATGGAGTTCGAAGATGAGCATTTTCTGATTAGTGTAAGCAGGGATAAGCAATTTGATTGGTTGATGCTTTGGGACACGATAACTTTAGTTCTAAATAAGTGAGAGTGATCAAACTTGGTGTATAGTTTCATCACATCAATACCTTGACTAAGTTCGATAATGAGCATTTTCTGCTCAGGGTAAGCAGAGATAAGCAATTTGATTGGTTGATGCTTTGGAACACAATAACTCTCCTTCTAATTGAGGTAGAATGTTCAAACTTGGTGTAGACGTTCATTAGGTGAATACCTTGATGGAGTTCGATGATGAACACTGTCTGCTTACGGTAAGCAGAGATAAGGAATCTGATTGGTTGATGCTTTGGGGCACGATAACTTTGGTTATAATGAAGTGGGAGCGATGAAACTCCGAATATAGATTTATTATATCATTACAATGACTAAGTTCAATGGTGAGAATTTTCTGCTTAGGCTAAGGAGCGATAAGCAATTTGTTTGGTCAAGACTTTGGAACATAACAACTCTGCTTTTAATTGAGGTAGAATGTGTAAACTTGATGTAGATGTTCATTAGGTGAATGTCTTGACTGAGTTCAATGATTAACATTTCGAGGTGAAGCTAAGCAGAACTGACCAATTTCATTGGTCGATGCTTTGGGACAAGATAATCTTGATTCTATCTGATAGTGAGTGATGAAACTTAGTGTATAGTTTGATTGCTCGATACTTTTGAAAAAAAATAAATGTGCGATTAATTAATGTGTCATCTATTTATTTTGGGATTTCGGCGGGGGACATCAGCCTCACCGTTGGCTTGTTGAGCTAGATGTTCAAACTTGGTGTAGGTATTTATTACTATTACGTCAATACCTTGATGGAATTCGAAGATAGGCAATTTGATTGGTTGATGTCACATTTTCCGATAAAAACAATACTATTCAGAACATATATATTTTTTCCTTTGTTTTCTGGCTTTAGAATTGTTATAAGGATGTCTATAAATAATTCCATGAAATCTACAAGACATGTTGCTTGTTCAAGACTGTGCTATGTGTGTACTATATACCTTCTTGTATTGGCTTATTATACGATTCCAATTACAGATTTTCACCAGGTCAGTATATTAAAATAGTTTTCAATCATACCCGATTGTTTACCCCGTTTTGATCTTTTATGCGATATTATACTCTTCGAAAAAAGTAGGGGATATTGAAATGCAAATACCTATGCAGGTTGTGATATGATAAATAGTCATGGACACTTGACATGTTTCGAGAGTATGTTCACAGATGAAGAACTTAATCCCCCAACAGAACCACTGAGCTGCACATGCGACACGCAATAGCACCATACACGTGGGAGGGGTTCATTGTCAAATTTAACACTTCAAGGAAGGGTTGATGAAAACTGCCGCGTGCTTGTTTATCTATCCATGTTTACTTTCCTATCGGTTCTTGCATAAGATTTACCGTTTAGCGTATCTTTGCTTTAGTGTGTTACGTTTAATTTGATCTCATGGGGGTTGGATGGCCGAATGGTTAGCACGTGCGTGCTGTATCATAAATCCTGTCATTGAGTCAACTGGCGTGGTTTCGAATTCCCGTTTGTACGTGACAAGGAGTAGGGTCGCCTGTCCAACCTCGTGAAATAAAAAAAATATACCGTATGTTAGTCCCGAAATGACCTAGTTTGTGTCGAGTGGACGTTAAACCCCATTTCTCTCTCTCTCTTTAATTTGATCTCGAGACGTTTTCGTCAACGGCAACGTCAATGTCAACCGACAACACTGCAAGAATTGGTCGTGTCACTGCAAGAGGAGTGGGTCAGATTGCCCCAAATCGTGATTGGACGGTTGATTTAGAGCATGCCACGACGAATTGCTGAATGTCTGAGGATTGGTGGAGCAATTACTCATTAAGACAAAAATCAAAAACGTCCATTTTCACTTTTGACGGTGTATCTCTTTGTGAGTGAAATGGGGGCGTCATATAAGCCGCCCATATGAACTGTTTATGTGCATGTGTAGGCAATTGACCTGTTATTAACATACACTGGTTACCTCTAATAAAAACAGCAGTGCATTTCCGTAGTTTTGTATTGTTTCTGGATATCCCCTACTTTTTTGAAGAGTATAGTTATTTCTCGTAATAGGAAACCCCTACGTCCATCCTTTGGCCTATATGCAACAATTAAAAATGATATGGATAGTAAATTGTATAGATCTTCTTTTTGTTACTCTCTTTCAGGCACCGACTTCTGAGGAGACCGAGATGACTCACAGGGTGTCGTGGCACTCAGGTGTGTAATATTTTTCTGATTTTTTTTTATACGGTTTGAATTTTGTGCTTTTTATACGTCCACATCAATACTGTCGCCCCTGTCTATAAGTGTGGGTGTGTGTGTCTCTGTGTCGCCTACAGGCCACAGCGGCAATTAACTGATCGTCTTGAAACTTTGCATACTTATTCCCTATACCCTAAGGACGGCAACTATTGATTTTGATGCATGATTCGTTCCTTTTGGGAGGTGCTACTCACTTTTTGTTAGTATTTTGTCTAAATAATCTACAGGTTGCAATTATTAACAGATTTGGATCCAATTCGGCATGATCCATCATAGGGTTGTACCTATTTATTTTGTTCCATATCCAACCCCCAGGGGCAGAGCCACGCCCAATTTCTGTGTTTATCGTCTAAAGGCTGCAATTCTGAATGGATCATCTGGGAACTTTGCATAAGTAAAGACAGCAATTATGTAGTTTGGTGCATGTCCCGATACCCAGGAATGTGGACGTATATTGCAGCGGTACCGTTACTCTTGTTTAAATATGCAACCCACAAATCATTGTTTTTACTACCATAGGCGTATGGGCTCGGTGACTGTTAGGGGGGTGGGGGCAGAACCCGGGATGACCGAAAATATTCCGGGTTACAGACGGCGGCGCCGTTCGCCTGCTAGAGGCGAAGGAGCGGAGCTTAGTAGGGACCATGACCTGTGGGGCAGCTGGGACACTTGTCCAGGGGCCCAGCGCCTAGTGGGGTCCGGAGGTATGCCGTGTAATGTTAAAAAAAGTTTTTGGTATAATCCATTACAAAAAAATACACCTTTACTTGATCGTAGAGTAGAAGACAACGGATAACTTGTCTCAGTGTGGGTATCCAGTGGCGTGAGTAGGATTAGAATCGAATTTTGTCTGTTTACTTTTTAAGTCAAAATGGTGAATTAAAAACTATAAAAAAAACTATAAGTCACCTGCCCGGTCCTTCGTGTCGTGGGGCCCCATCCGTCCTTGTTCCATTTGAGGCACTCATCACCCTCCAGGTAGGGCCTAGTTCGGACCTGTAGAACGCTACAGTGATGGTGAGCTTCCAAGTGTGCACGGGGGGTTGGATGGCCGAATGGTTAGCACGCGCGCGCTGTATCATACGGTCATTCATCGAGTCAACTGCTGGGGTTTCGATTCCCCGGTTGTACGTGACAAGGAGTAGGGTCGCCTGTCCAACCTCGTGGGTTTTCTCTGGGTTCTCCGGTTTCCTCCCACTGCTAAAGACCCCTACGCGCAAGCGAATTATTGAAATAAAATTGAACCATGTGTTAGTCCCGAAATGACTTAGTTTGTGTCGAGTGGACGTTAAACCCCATCTCTTTCTCTCTCTCCCCAAAAAGTTCCGTTAGAATCCAGTTCAACGTGATTTTGGGTATTGAAAAAATAAACGAATAGTGATGAAAAAAATTCTTTTTGATATTTTGGCGTCTGATGGTCACAATTTTTGTTTTTCCATTTGTTTGCTTGGTTAAAATTTATTTTTCAAAATTGTCTACATCTGACTATTATTATATCAGTGAAACTAAAACCTGGTACATATACATGTTTTTGGTATGTCATAATACGTTGTTGTATTAAATCTCAAGTCTCTGTGTTTTAGCAAAGTGAACTCCAGTTGCTTGTCCCGGGGTCTTGAGGGCCCTATAGCGGGCCCTGTTAGGGACCACCAAGAAAATTTGACGGCCGCTATCGCGTTTTCCAGTCCGTGAGTATAGCAACTTCGAAGTGGAACTAACACAGTTATATGGGATAATAATCACTAGTTTATGCCGTTTCGTTAAGTATCCTCTTATCGTTATCAAGATTGTGCTTGCTAACGATAAGAGGGTATACTTATCGAAACGTCGTGCTTGTGTATAAGAAACCAGTGATTGTTATCCCATATAACTGTATAATTTCTGTAATGTTTCCAATCGCTAAATGCCACGAAATGATTAACTTCGAAGGGGTCTGACATACATGTAGTCTAATTTAGATGGTTGACTCGAATTCCAATCAACCAATCAGTCGTTTACAGTCAATGTGGTGCCAATATAGCCTACCATAGGTGGCTGACCTGAATCCCCAACAACAATTGTCGAGGGGTATGGGAGCCTCGCCCTCCCGGAGAGAAATTTGAAAATTTATCCACCGCAAATGCATTTTTCTACTATTCTAGCCTGTGGGTTAAGCAACTCCAAGTTCCCCAATCCCACTTTATGCCGACCTGAATTCCAACCTACCAATTAGGCTGTTGCAGCTGCATTCACAAATAATAATCGATGTCCGAAAAATGGCGTACAAAGTAGAGTGGCTCCATAGTCAGTAATCGATAGTCAGTTCAGCACAAATTAGATTTCGGACACTTTATTTTGCCAATTAGATGAAATAATAATTTTTGTCTTCACTTTACCCATCTGCCCGAAAAGTGGGCCCCCCCCCCCCCAAATGCTCGCACGCCTATGTATAACGCCCACATTAAAGGACAATATTGGTGTCAGTCATTATAAAATATGTGATAGAGCTCGTTAAATACATCCCAAATATAATTTTAACACAGACATCATTGCTACGGGAGTTGTGTAACAAGCACGTGAAGAAACGGGAAGTGACGCCAAACATGACAAACATGAGTTGTCCTTCTATATAACTGACTGAAGTAACGAGCGGTAACAGACAAACGATCGAATTTCATTTCACTGATAATTCCGTTGAACTTTTCAACTTCAACGGATTTATCAGTGAAATGAAATTCGATCGTTTTTCTCTTACCGCTCGTTACTTTAGTCTGTTATATAGAAGGACAACTCGTGTTTGTCATGTTTGGCGTCACTTCCCGTTTCTTCACGTACTTGTTACACGTCTCCCGTAGCAATGGTCTCTGTGTTAAAATTATATTTGGAATGTATTTAACCAGTTCTATCACATATGTAATAATGACTGACACCAATATTGTCCTTTAATATGAAAGTATGTCGTTATCCATTACCTCGCGTTAATTTTGATGCGGTGGTTTTGCCCCTGTTAACTTTTATTGAGTTTACTTTTGCATTGCAACACGACCCTTTCCCTGCACATAACTAAACATTATACACGGTTATGAGCTAATCACTCCATTAATAGCATGAAAAATGCACAAGTAACGTAAACAAACACATTCTATAAATATAAAATTTGTATTTCGTAACAATCATGAGACAAGAGACGTTGGTAATCACTCACTCTGCTGTCATGGCATAGGAAAGGTTAGACCTAGGCCACAAAATGCATAAATTATCATCCAAGCCGGAGGATTAACAACCGTTGATATTTTGATTGTTAATTTTAAGCAATCAACTTGAGTATACTTTAGCGTGGATTAAGCTGTGGAAATTCTGATATTTTCCGAAAAAAGCGATTGACGCGCGGAGGCTTTTGTGTACTTGCGAATCTACTTATCACCTGATAACATTTAATCATTGGGTGTTTTATCTTCTTTTCTTTTTCGTTTAGTTTCCAAAACCAGAGAAATCAGCGATTGTCAAGGATCAAAACTGAATAATTCAATTGAAGATGGCGTGAGACATTATCTAGGTTTAACGGTGCCAAATGTTACAATAGGATATCTAAATAGTTTGGGGTTTTCGCATTTCGAAGCATTTGATAAGGTTAAAATACCACATTTGCCAGTTGTGCTGTTTGCTGCTTCGTCAAATCATTTTCTGGAAGTTCAAGGACTCATCCAGGATCTTCATCAGAGATTAATGTGGGTTTATCCTAATATAAAATTGCTATTTTACGATTTGGGATTAACACCATTTCAGAATCAACAGGTAATATTGGCTTAGGGCCGTTTTTCATGTGCGCGTTTATGTCGGCGAAAAAACGCGCACATGAAAAACGGACTTAACCTTTGTCGACTTTTCGGTCTAGCGCGAATTTATACCCAATTCAACACACATTACGCAAGAGCTAAATCTGCCTATTGCAGGTTTTTCTTTATACCTGAAATGTTTTCTAAATTATTAATTAGACATTAATTAACTTATCCAGGCCATAATCAACTCTCGATGGCATCGGATTTCTCCGATATTTATCAGCCATATTTTGATTTAAGCTAAAAATGGAGGAGCGAGACTTAGCTTCGAACAACCAGTACGGTGGTTGAAATTATTGCACACGTCTTGTCAAACCTTCAAAGGCTAATATCTTCGCTCGCAATAGAGTAATTTAAATGAAATTTTCAAATTATTCATTTTACATTATATATTTTCTAACTATTATAGCAAGAATGGCTAGCTCTTTATCTAAATCTAACATAATGTATTTTTAATCAACAGACACATTATAGGAAACAAGATTTAAAATACCCCGAAGAAGCCGTTGCATAAAGAAACCGTTTCCGCAGCTTTACGACTGATGCTTGAATTAATTTGAATCACATTTTACACACAATTAAATGGGACAAGTGAAACTTTAACGTAGCACTATATTTTTCTTTCGCAACTTACCCCTGCTTTTCCCTAATCCTTGTTTGCGCAAGAAAGTAGCATGATAGGCTTAATAGTAATAAATAATGGTAATGTGGAGGCGTATTTTGTCCACAAGAGAAGAATTTGCAGTATATTTAGACACAAGGGTAGGTCTAAAAAGATTTATTGATATAAGAACTTCCTTACTACATTACGGATATTTTTAATCACTTTGTGAATGTATTCATCAAAAAACTGTCCGATTTATAAACCAAAAGATAGTTTAATATACATTTATTGACTTTTAGTTTATTTAAACTCAAGGCTAGGTCTAAAAGGTATTGATGGTAGGGGCTTTCTTACTACAATACGGATATTTGTAATCAGTTTGTGGATGTATTCATCCAAGAGCAGACCAATTTTAAAACAAAATTAACATTTAATGTTTCTGTTCTTTACATTCAATTTCCAGATGGTTAAACACTGTAACTGTGAAGTGCGTAAATTTCCATATAATGGATTTCCTCCCCACTTAAGAAACCTAACAACATACGCCTGGAAACCGATTATTATTCAGGTACGCTAGTGTTTAAACTTTTCATTGTTATGGAAAGATTATGGATTGTTTAAGGAATTCTCAGTTAGAGGAACTTATTTTGATTAAAAAAGTGACACAAATTACTATGTGTAGGTTATGGACGCATTTCATTTTGTAGAATGTTCTCAACACTATCCTGGTGTTGGCAAAGAAAGGTCATCGGGATTTTCCAGCGTGGTTCCCCATTGTCAGTGGTGCAGGGCGGAAGGCCTGGCAAAGGACAATGTATAGTCATTCGGGTGGGACGAAAAACCGAGATCCCATGTACACATTGGCATGCACGTAAAAGAACCCCTGACAGTTGGATTCGAAATAAGATAGGCCTTAGTGTCGTTGTCATATGGGCAAAATTTCCATCATATCACACTAGGTGGCGTATGTTCATCTTCATTAGCACATAGTTGGTGAGGAACAGTAGGACGTTACACACCATTTCATTTCATTATTTTGTTGTTTGTTTACAGATGGCTTTGCAGGAACACCATTTTGTGGCTTATATGGATGCATCAATACGCCTAAAAATATCTGATTTGACAGATTTGTTTCAGAACACCAAAGATCGTGGATTCATGTATCTTTATGGTGATTTTTTTAATTTGGAGGTCATGCAGCACACAGACCAACGAATGCTTCAGTTCTTTAGACTGGATGGTTGCAAATTTCTGACTGTGACTGAGAAGCAAGCGACAATGGTTCTTATTGCTGATAAATGGTTGAGTCATTTTATTTTAATGAAATGGTGGGTGGTGTGTGCTTTAACTTTAGACTGTATAGCCCCTCCGGGTACGGAAAAGCTGTTATTCTGTGATCCAAGAATTAATAAGATTGGTAAATGTCATCGTTTTGATCAGTCGGCATTGAATCTCATTATTTATTCCATATTCAACAATCCAGAGAATCACGTAATTTCCAGACAATTCATTAACACTAAAAGAGGTCAGATGGTGAATTACTTTGAAAAATAAATAATTTCAAACTCATGGTTTGGAGTCTTTTTTCGGTGTCAAATGTGATCTGATATGTCGAGAAATCACAAGGGCTGCTTTTACTTCCGAAATCGAAGTCAGGCAATAGACATTAATACTGCCACATACTGGTTCCAGTTATTTGTTTTTATTCCTTCCTGTAACCACCCACAGAACATAAATTCTGATAGATGTATAGCCTCTGCCATATAAAAATGTTTTAAGATATGACCCCTTGAATATTTTGTAAATAATAAAAAATATGTTTCCAGGTAATGAGACATATGCAGTCAAGATGTCCACAAAGGCTGTCACATTGTCAATCTTCAGGTTAATAAAAACAATGACTTTCAAGCAGTGTCGGATTAAGATGAGTTGGGGGGGGGGGGGGGGGTAGAGCACTTGTATGAATAGGGGCCTCTGCCCAGCTCCCTTCCAAAAATCGGTGATATATATATTGAAATTGAATTATATAAAAAAGATATTTTTGATTTAATACACAGTATAGATTAATTTGAAAAGTACAATCACAAATCACTCATGAATTCTCAATGGTTAACAGTGTATGTCTAATAGCAAATTGTTGTTTCATAATGCCAATTTGTGCTGTCACTCCCTGCATCATAGTTGAACACAACAGTTAATATAATTTCAAATAACTATCATACACGCACAAATCAAAATATAAATGAAATGAAATGGGGTTCTGCCCCTATACTGGGCTAATACAGACGGGCATATGCCATACAGTGTGCTATGAGGGAAATTTAGCCCGGGCAGCGGCACTATCGCCTACTCTTATATCGAATTCCAACTGCCAAGGGATCTTTTACGTGCATTCCAATGTAAACACGGGACCTCAGTTTTTCGTCTCATCCGAAGGACTAGACAGCTGTCCTTGTCAGGCCCTCCGTTCTACACCACTGACAAGGGGAAACCACGTCGGAAAATCCAGATGAACTTTCTCGGCCAATGCAGGGATCGAACACCGACCTCCCGGCTAGCGAGCCAGCGTCTTAACCAACTAGCCACCGTGGCTCCCAAATCAAAATATAAACTAGAACTCCAAAGAGTACTGACGTCCAAAAAATGATGAAGAAAACTTTCGCAAATCGAGCGAACTTCCGAAATTCGAATAACCGTCAGTCAGAGCCCATATGGGATTCGTCTTAAAAATCCAACCTGTGGCTGTCAGGCAGGATACGCCCACATTTTGCAAGAGATGGATAGGCCTACAGAACAAGCTAAAAATAAAAACGATTTTCTGTACAATCAGGGGCAATAATCCAGAAAGTTATGGTCTGAAATGCGCAATATCAAAAGAGATTGAGATTTTTAGAACATAAAGATGTTTTAAGTTTCATCAAAATCGGGTAAAAATTGTGACCTCTAGAGGGTTCATAACCTTTGTATTACATGCGTACGAAGAGCGGCCATATTGTCGGGCAGTTTCATTTCGATTTTTCCCGAAATTCGAATTCAACCTTCATTATGGTGGAATATCTAAACGGTTTTTAAAATCGGAAATAAAATGTGACCTCTAGAGAATCCACTAGCTAAAAATGCGATTTTTCGACTAATCAGGGGCCATAATCCAGGAAGTTACGTTCGGATATGCGTGATTATCAAAAGGAACCAACATCTTTATGATAAAAACATATATTTAAATTGTCATCCAAATCGAATAAAAACTGTGGCTTCTAGAGGGTCCACAACCTTGATATACCATTATTTTTACAATATTTGCGTACAATGGGCGGCTATTTTGTCCGACAGTTTTGGTCCGATTTGCACGAAATTCGAACTCAACAATCATTAGGGTGTAACGGTGATATACTAAAACATTTTTTAAATCGAATAAAAATTGTGACCTCTAGAGGGACCACAAGCTAAAACGCGATTTTTTTTGTACAATCTGGGGCCATAATTAAGGATGTTACGATCCGGTATGCGCGAATATCGAAAGGAACCAAGATCTTTGGGTTATAAACTTGCATTTCAAGTTACATCAAAATCGGATCAAAATTGTGACATCCATGAAGTTATGGTCCGATACATGACAATATCGAAAGGAACCGAGATCTTTGGGAGATAGACCTATATTTCAAGTTTCGTCAAAATCGGATAAAAATTGTGACCTGTTGAGTGTCCACAAACAAATTCTGATGTCAGTTTCTGATGCATTTACATTTTGGGGTGATGCTTAGATTTCTCAGTCACCATTCCGCAGTGATGGAGAGATCTTACAGTTTGCTCCCACAATGGTGAAATGCTAAGGTTGGTTACTGGAATATAAACAGGTATCTATAACAATATTTAGGTCCACGAAAGTAGAAACATGATCACGTGATATTATTGTATTGTCAATTTTACGGCCGTGACACACGTACTAGTGCTACAGTAGAACCTTGGGAGCCTTTGCGCAGTTCCGATACAAACGCTATGGGTAATCTGGCACTGCAGATGGAATAACTTTTGTCACCAAAAATTGTGGATCACAGACGGAATGAAACGACGAAAAGATTCTACCCCATTTCAAAGTGGGAGTATAAAATAACAAAAAGGTCTTATTTCTTTATTAAATGAATGATTAAATGATCTTATAAATAAACTGAATATAAAAGTCTCCCACAAGAAAAAAAAAACCTAAGTAGGCCTACAATTTATTTATATGAGTATTTCCGTACTTTAAGCAAAATTATAACAGCATTTTAACAGATGTGAGTTAGAATAAAAACAATGTGGTAATAAATAGAGATACAACATGACAAGAAATTGAAGTCAAGTGTATATATATATATATAATGGTGATGACAAGGATAAAAGGGTGACTAAAAATTCACATGTACTAGAATATAATTAGCACTAACAATTCTTCTAAAAAAAATCAAAGAATATCACATACACTACAGGAGAAACCAAAAGAGATTCTGTTAACTTTACTGTTAATATCCAAGGGTTGGATGTCCACACACCCTTTTAGGTTTGGCCAGTTATTTTATGTCTATTTTAAGTCACTTTCCAAAGAATAAATAATGTTGATAAATAGTTCAAAAACTTGATATGAATAATTAAATGGGCGGTGAATTGGTATATAAAAACAACCATTTAAAAGCTCTCTGTGCCTGTCCCAGTGAATTCATGACTGATAACAAATATGTGAACACAATTATTAATAATAATGATATTTGATCTTTGGTGTATTTCAATTATATTCCTACCTGGATAATTCACCATGTTAACAATTACTGTTGTTTACTAGTTTCTCACTTTGAAAATCATATTCAACAGGTTATGAATGAAACAAGACTGTTAAAACAGTTTAGGAACACAAAAATTATCTAATAATAAAATTAAAATGATGCTTGATAAACTGACATATTACAATACATTTATGAACATGCAGACACTATTGGTTATGAAAATATAATTTGTTAAGTAAGACCTTCTATTACTTATCTACAAGACAACATTAAGTACATGTATCCTGAGTAACAGATGTGAAAAAGTCACTAGATTTTAATGTTTTTTTCTTTTGATTGACTTACAAAACACAAACTTTTCAATAGATCTCATTAAAACATTTTTTTAGAAAAAGATCAATCGTTACAGCAATTAGAACTTGAGAAAATATATTACATTTTATGTTTTTAGAGTATTATTTACACATTGCTTTAAATATGTCTGAATTTTGTAAAGATTGACTTTACAGATGACAACTAGTCTTAAAATAAAAGGTTAGGCTATTGTACCAACACTTTGGCTGTGTATTAATATATCATATGAAATATACAACACTGATATTTATGCAAAATCTATTCATCATGCTTGTTTCATCAAATAGACAAATAAATTACTTGAGTGTTTATATTAAAAATGACACAACCTCTTTGATTTGGGTCAAAATTAAATTGTCAATTTCACTGGATTTTATTTGTTAATTTGATGAATGACAATTTGTCTTTGTTGAAAATATGACATCCATAGATAAGCATTTTGTGTTCCACTTTAACCAAATTTAGTAAACAAGCTAACTTCTGCTCATACTTTCAAAACAAGCATACAGAGCTTGCTCCACATCGCTAATCAAAATAAGACATTAGATATACCCAATTCGATACTTTATTTTGACCTAAATCAAAAAAGAAGTACTTCTGTAAGCTACAACAAAATTAAAGATACATTATAGGAGATTAGATAAAGGGCTGGTAGTTCTTACTATAATAGTTAAAAATTAGATAATGTAAAGGGAATTTTACTGAGAATTTCAGTCAAATTGATCAACTCTGAACCGAGTTGGAATTTTGGATCTAGCCTTGATCATCATCACTAAAGTCGGTATGATAAAAAAACATAGTCTCGATTATTTAGTTTTTTTAATTAATCAGAGCAGACTGGGTTCTCTAATACAGTAAATATTGCAGGTTAACGATGCTATTGAGAGTTGATTATGGTCTGGATAAGTTAATTAGTCTAATTGTCCCCCGCCTTTCGAAGAAAGCAGGGGACTATTAAAATGGGTTCGTCCGTCTGTCTGTCTGTCTGTCTGTCCGTCTGTCTGTCTGTCTGTCTGTCCGTCCGTCTGTCTGTCCGTCACACTTTTTGGGACACAATAACTCTCTTCCTAATTGAGCTAGAATGTTCAAACTTGGTGTATGTGTTTATTAGGTCAATGCCTTGATGGAGTTCGAAGATGAGCATTTTCCGCTTAGGGTAAGCAGAGATAAGCAATTTGATTGGTTGATGCTTTGGGACACGATAACTCTCTTCCTAATTGGGCTAGAATGTTCAAACTTGGTGTATGTGTTGATTAGGTCAATGCCTTGATGGAGTTCGAAGATGAGCATTTTCCGCTTAGGGTAAGCAGAGATAAGCAATTTGATTGGTTGATGCTTTGGGACACGATAACTTTAGTTCTAATTAAGTGAGATTGATGAAACTTGGTGTATAGTTTCATTACAGTAATACCTTGACTAAGTTTGATAATGAGCATTTTCTGCTCAGGGTAAGCAGAGCGATACGCAATTTGATTGGTCGAGACTTTGGAAGTAAAGATATACTGTTTGATTGTTCAATACTTTGTAAAAGATAATTTGTGATAAATTTATATGTGTCCTCTAATTATTTTCCTATTTCGGCGGGGGACATCAGCCTCACTGTTGGCTTGTTAATATTAAGATAACATTTCAGGCCTAAAGAAAGACCTGCAATTGGCAGATTTAGCTCTTGCATAATGTATGTTTAAGGATTCAATGATATCCCCCTAGAATTTGAAAGACACAAACTTTAGAATTAGATCATGGAAAAGGAAAACTATATGTAGTTTTAAATAAATGTGTCTGGCTACATGTAAGTATAGTGAGGTAAACAATACATGATATCATATATATATTTACAGGTGTTTATAGCTTTAACAGTTATCATGGACACCATGCTGATTGAATGAATATTGAAGTATATCATGTTTAAAGAGAGTAAAACATCTTACCAAACTAACTGTTTGGGTATATATATATTGTAAAACATGAAATTAACGTAAACTAAACAGGTATGACACAAGTACACATTGAAATTAATGCAAATCACTAAATCCAACATTACAGCTGAGTGACATCTTGTTAGTTAAAGAAAAATGTGCCGTGACCAATAGATTAAATATCTGATAATTACATCATTAGTTTTGTTTATCAATCAGATATTAACAAGTATGGCCTACCATCTCACTAATCACTGTTTATTATCTTCTTAATTTCAATAACAATCATTAGCTACATCACATTTAATGCATTAATTTATTGTTTCACAATAGCCAGTTTCTACAGATGTTCAAGAGATCAAACTTACACATACTGATATGCAATCTACTAAATTCCTGTATCTTTCACAGCAATTTGTGCAGACTTCGATTTCACCTTTTAAACACATGAATGTACACATATGGCAGAAAACAATATTATAAAATTTGTACCAAATAACATTTTAGTAAAAAATAAATTTTTCTAGAAAAAAGTTCATGGTACTAAAAGAGCTTTTATTGGTAAAATAAATTAAGCTTTCCTATAAAGTTTTATCATTGAATGTTGATGTTGAATTTTCGTGTAGTTTTAATTAGAATTCAATTACTGATGGTTTTCTTTAACAATGTTCAACTTGTGAACTATGATAAACATACAATAATTTGATTAAGTAGTTTAGTTCCATATGAAGATTAAAATAGTACATTTACATAAGACTAAAAGCAATGTGTTTTTGTGTTAAAAATAAAAGAGGGCAAAAAAAATTCAGCAGTTCATGTACCAAATACATAGCGGTTACCCATAACTTGTTTCAAGTTATAATTCCTCTTTTCAGGAAGGATATAGTCTCATGAAAATGATACATTTACAAGTATATTTAAAACCTACTCATATGGTACACAATAAACTACATACATTCTCTCTATATATATACAATGACTGTCATTTATAACAATGATAATAATTACAAGAATTGTTTCACAAGAAAAATAGCCAAACTAGACTAGATGTTCAACGGATATTATTCTAACGGAAGAATCAATAAGCCTAACTTAAAATAATCTATACCAATTTCAAAATTTAAAGTGGTATGGGTTTGTACTGAATGAGGTTCTTGTGTTAAATTTTCCATTTTGAATACTAATTATCTATAATAATTGTTTACATGTAGTTTTTTCTATATATTTTCACTGTGTTAAAAAGTTACAGTCACTAAAGAAAAAAAAAACGTAATGAGAGATTTCCATTCAAACCGGTGTAACTGGCACATTGGCTTGTACACCACCCATTAATTGTCAGTAGTGCCATTTAGCTCGCTGTGCTTGTATATCACTTCGTAAGTTTTGAGCAAAACAAATTCCTAGTATCTGAAAGAGAAAATGTTAAATAGATAAGGGAGGGAACTGTGTCAAGTAAAAAAAAACCAGTTTGCCAGACAAAGTAATATACATCCAGATCAGTTTTGTTGGCTGTGTTGTACATTCATCAGAGACAACAAACCTGGAACTACCTTTAAAAAAATGTTCAGAATCCATAAATTATATAGATTATTTTAACGTGTACTATCAACAAGTATACTGAAAATTAACTCAAAATCAGTTAACAAAGAGTATGGAAAAGTATGTTTATCAACAATCACATGCGCCAAGAGCAAAAACTCTACAAATAATTTGATCAAAAAGCTCTCTTTAATCTGTAGATGTAAGTGTGGACTGGCGGAAAATGTAGACATTTGTTTACGAAGTTTCAGTGATGGGGTAATAAGAAAAAGTTGAAATTCTACATGATTCTTCATTTCACTGACCATAACTCTTAGACAACTGTTGGATGGATGCAGGGTCGACAGCAATATACTATTCTTATAAGCCCGCAATGAAATGTACCTGGTAATCAGTAATAACAATATTCTTTTACAACAAAGTTGTGAAAGTCCAATAATGTACCTGCAGTAATGCTATTCCTACAGCTACTCCAGCTACTGGTATTAGATTAGATTCTAACCACTTCTCTCCAGATGGTATACAACCTAATGTATAAATTTTAGTCGTCCTGTGATAATCCTGTAAAAAACCACATCAACATAAAGATGATAACAAATGAATCTCAAATGAGAAAACCAAAGACTATCTTTAATCACCAGATCAATGCATGACTAACTCCACTAACTCACAACTTATAAGTTCAGTAACTACCGTTAAAACATAATTTCAAGAACATTGAATTGAAACATTGAAATCGCTCTTTTTCCCAAAGTTTGATACAAGTTATCATTAAGTTCTTCACACAACTACTGTAAACCTCATGCAATGACATTTCTTGGGCAATAAATTGATTTTAAAAATAATGACTAATTTTAATTAATTGTTTCGAATACATTTGTAATTATCTTACATGTGATGATCTAAGCATATCATATCCACAATGTCGATTTTTAATCACATCCTGTAATATAGAGAAAAAGAAAGTAAAGAAAGGCTAATTAGTGTCAATATAACTTGACCCATTGTACATATCATTTTAAACGTGATACAGGATGCTGAACTAAAGTGATAACAATTACTGATATGAAAGTATACCAGTACTACACCAAAATCTCAACATCAGAGAAATGGAGATAAACTAATATCTATACCGGTACACAATTACTTCTTTCAACCTAAATTATTTGTGAAAACTTAAGTTTAATATTACATGAAAAATTGTTCATGACAATGTTTTAAATCATAGTTTGAAAGGAATCTGTTCTATTACTTACATCAGTAGGTTGACAACATGAAAATGGCACCCCACAAGCTTCAACACCTGGTGATGAACAGTTGAAATACATATTACTCTGCCAGTCATTATATGCATACACTCCACAACAATGTAGCTGAAAAAATATAATAATAATTACCATTAAATAATTAACTAATTTTACATACATTTTTACTGGACTGATTAAATAAGGATACCTGGTGAAAACCTACAGGGTTTGACAAACAACCCCATTCTTTATTATACATATACAAGGGCTGGCTGATATTAGTTCTAAGCCCGTCTGTGAAAGACCTGTACAAAAGTCAATGACTTCCATTATTTTTTCTACATAGACCACTTCATGGTGTACACTGTTTTTCCAACAATGTTGCAAGGCCTGGATACTGGTCAGGAAGAAATTTTCTTCAGCCACCCTAAAAAAGACATCCACAGCTGACATGACATCATCACTACTAGGAAAATGATGACCGGCTAGTTCCATTTTCATTTTTGGAAACATGTGGAGGGTTGATGGGGCCAAATCGGGCCAAAAAATTATCAGGGGACGTCAGGAATCTATTAAGTAGTCAAGAGGTTTGGCGCCAATCTTGCAGAAACCTTTCCCATTCCTAACTCCTTGGCGATGATGTGCTCAATCCTCTCATAAGAGATGCCCACAACACTAGCAATATGTCAAGTGGTCAATCGTCGATCAGTCATCACCATTTCATGCACCCGGATAATGTTTTCTTGAATGATTGCTTTTGATGGATCATCTCTGACACCCTTAAAATTCTGCAGCCCACTTCTTTACTGTGGAAAAGGAAGGGGCATCATCCACCAAAGTGGAGACCATGTTGGCATGTATCTGTGTTGAGCTTAGTTGCAGGTACTTGATGATGACTGCCCTATAACCAGTTTTGTCCATTTCTGGTGATTTCAATGGGTAGGTTCACAAGATGGTCTGGTGTGAAAACAATAATACCACTCAGTTGCAGTTCTTATGTCTATGATTCATTCAATGATTGAATGCTTGTTGGTGGCAAATGTTTAAAAGCCCAATTGATCTATCCTTTTCAGACTTAGAACTTTTCATGGAAAGAAAAGAAATACAGATTTTCAATATCCACAAGCAGGTCATTTTATACATAATAGTAATGTTTTTTTTATGCGGGGAGCTCTTTTCCAAAATACAATAAAAACCAGTCAAACATTTTATGACATGGTACATGGAAATAAAATCTTTATATCAATAATTCTCTATCACACAATAATGGAGTGAAACTGAAGAGCCTGGCAAAAAATCCACCAATGAATTAGTGACAGGCATAAAATACACATTAAATTAGTCTATAATTTGTAAGTGATGGGAGAGATTCAAATATATAAGTAATCTTACCCAATCTCTCTGAACCCAGTCTACAAGATTCTGTAGATCATCATCTTCTCTATAATTAACTATCATATTCTGTACTTGTCCTTGTATCTGATCCTTTACCCAATCTTTATAAACAAATCCTAATATTCCCAATAGTAACTCAATAAAAAATATCAAACCAACTGCTATCATAAACTGAAATTACAAATACATTGCCATTTAATATTAGATTATCAAGTGATAAAGTAACAAGATGAGATGAATAATGCAATTTATTCCTTTAACTTTAACAGTAATTGGTTGTACAGTATTTAACATATAAGCCTATCCTGAAGAATATGTAAAAGCTCAAATTCAAAGTTCTATAAATAATTATTAGTTGCTCTGTATTCCCAACATGCAAATATTTAAAAATAATTGCTATACAAAACACATTATTAAGTTTTTAAAAAAAAAATATTTAAATGTGTTGATCTTAACTTTGTTAAAAGAGCTAAATTGCTATTCCTTGTCACCTAGAATGGACACAAATGGGTCACAACGCATATTATAATGTGATACGAATATAAACTGATTTACATTCAATCGTCTGTTTTTACTGTAATTTGTAATCAGTTCTGTTCCACGAAAAACAGTCTTTGGCGTCTGGCGCCGTCTGGTTATTCCAGTCCACTTCGGTAGTGTTCCCATGTGGGATATGTTTAGACTCGTTCATCCAGTCACTTCATTACAAATGGCACTCTAAAGCATTCTAGCACGCAATTCGTGTGTCAAGTTTAAAATTTTCACTGTAAGATAACAATATCAATGTTGATTTAAATTGACCAATAAGTCGTGTTTGCAATGTTGAAGATGTGGATGATGCTGAGTTAAAGATTTAGCTACTTTAACTGGATTTGGAAATTGGAAATTCTAAAGTTGAAAACTTGAGAAAGGGAAGTGTACATTTACACTTCAGTGATCGTGTGTCTTCTAAATATTTAATAATAATTACCAAATAGAATACTAAGCAGCTGACAGTCATTTGCATTTATTGGACAATATCCATGTTAAATTGTACTAAAACTGATTATTTAACATTTAATTAAGAAAATAAAACCAAAATCTCAATGGTCGATAATCTCCTGACTTTGAATAGTTCTTTATTATTCATATTAGAACTTCTATGTATTTAAAACAAAGATGACCACTTGTGAGTGTAACTAAACAGGCTTTAGTTGGAGTTATGTACAGTCTCTGTGTCGGTATCATATTAATCAATAGAAAGCAGTCAGTATGTGGACATAACCTAATCTCTAAACAATGACTGACACAGACTACAGACTCAGGTAATCTTAAACACTGAAACATAGCGGCAATACTATATACCGGAAAACACCAGAAAACAACCGGAAAACACCATGTTATACCGAATACCGGAAAACACTGGAAAACCACTAAATACCGGAAAACACACTAAATACCGGAAAACACCCTAAATAGGTAACAAAGAGTCTGGTCCTCTGTTTGCGGGGAGTTAGGGTTAGGTTTTTCTGGTGTTTTCCAGAGGACCAGCGGTAGGTTAGGGTTAGGTTTTTCCGGTGTTTTCCAGAGGTCCAGGCTCCGAGTTACCTATATAGGATGTTTTCCGGTATTTAGTGTGTTTTCTGGTATTTAGTGTTTTTCCAGTATTCAGTATAACACGGTGTTTTCCAGTTGTTTTCCGGTATATAGTATAGCCCAAACATAGTACTCTAGACTATCACATTTAGATTTTTACATACTTATGATTTATTTAATTAAATTAAACAAATATCCATAGAAATTCTATTAAAAACAGCCCAGATTTAAAAATCCATATTATGGCTGAAGATTGTCTTTGTCAATTTGTGAAAAACAGTACTTTGATGCACCAATAAGGTCTCATTGTGTTTGGTTTCATTTCAAAATTTTAGTCAATCTAACTTTTAGGAAAACCGGACTAGCAATATTCAGGGAATAGACGTGAATGGATACATGACACAGGTTCTGTCAGTGTCACTTGAGACTTGCAGGCTATGAAAGATGTTAATGAAATGACTGCTATAACACAGCGGTTTTACACAACTGTGTTTTCATTGCATTTGTTTATGAATCCTGATCAGTAGTCAGACAAATAGAAACAAAAGTATCTTCAACTGAATTATTGATGAATTTTTCTTCAAGTGCTTGGAAACCAGTTTAGTGTACCAGACTAAAAGTTCCTCTACAGCTCTATTTTTATAGATCGATACTGAAAAAAAACCCCTTAATATCATATTATGGTTATTTCCATACTCTTTTCAAAGAAATAATTGAAAGATATTGTTTCATTTGGATTTAGAATAATATCCATATTGATACTTAGAATAATATCCATATTAATATACTTACAAATAAAAGTAGACATGAATTCTCCCTGAGTGATCCAATACAGCCAGCAAACCCAATTATAAACATAACACCACCAGATATAATGAATAATAGAGCTGGGTCCAGAGCAATGTTTGTTAATTTACTGATATTCTGAAACATGTCCTTTTCTGTCCATGCCCATAATCCTATTCCTAGAAGTCCTGCACCAATAAACTGAAATACAAATTCAATGAAACATTCATCACTGTAAATTGAAAATAATAAATTAATGTCATTCATTAATGGGTTATTGTCAGATTAAATGGATATTATAGCAGTGTTCAGTCAGGATTATCTGTCGCGACAACCTGATTTCAATTCAATAACAGCCCGTTGAGGCAAAAGACACAGGGCACACCATTACCAATGTCTACTCTTGATACCATTTTCTTATCAACAAAATTTTGAAGGTGAAACTTTGTTGTGCACAATATTTCAGCGCCTTCATAATTACATAGCGATGTTTATTTATAGGTGAGTGTTGCCCATACATAATTGGTTTATACAAAACTAAACACAATGGTCTCCCCCAAAAATTCAACAATCAGGCACATATCACCAATGAAATGTCAGTGACAATCTGCAATCTGTATACATTAATGCAGCTCAGTGATTATTCGTCATTAATAAAAAATAAAAAATAATTCTGTGTTTCTGCAGACACAAATTAACATTATGAGCTGTTCATGAGCAATAAAGGCCCTATAGCACTCTGAAAATGGTACTTGTAGATTTTTCATCCATAGTCCGATTGCATCATGCCCAGTGTAAAATTAAGGTACCTGTACATGTAACTTTATAAAAATAAATATAGCCTAGATTATTTTCAAAAGTGACTAGCAGTATTAGTATCAAATTTCACTAATTGCCGATAACTACTGAAAGCGGTAATACTTTAAATCCAAATTTTGACTGATAGTAAGGAAATATTATCAGTTGCATATTATTATTATGGTTTTCATTGCACAATGGAGGCTGAAATCAGTAGTGAAATATTTCATATATACCAAGCTTTAAAACATCATTTTTTTTAGTTACCCGGTATTCCATAAAATAACATTCGAGCCTCAAGCCTACATTGTATTGTTTTTAATTAAAAGATATCCCATTCCCGTAAAAGTTTGTCTTGTCTATATGTACATGTATTTAAATAGCTAAATGACAAGAAAAGTTTATTTATGCCATACTCTATTCACAATGATTATCACACCATTAAGAACAAGCATCGGATGGGCATTGTGGGCCGTGTCGCCTACTTTTTTGGACAGAATTCCAGGACTTAGTGATAAATTTTCTATACATGTAGAATATGATCAACACTTCAAGGAAACATATTCATTTTTGATAAAAGTGTAATCTTAAATTAGTCCGTTTAGAATGTTACATGTAAATAATAAAACTGGATAGAATTGTCAAAAAGGCTACATGTACACTATTTGTCCAGGTTATGTCATTCTAGTCTAATCTTCTGAATAGCTCTGATGAAGGTTTCTAGATACATGTGCCTTAAGCAAATTTACTCTAAAGATTTGAAGAGTTGCCAATTATTTCATCTTCTTGTCTTCAATAGGCAATGTAATTGGATGAAACTCAAAAACTTGGAACTGGAAAAGGTGCAGAGGTCAGTGATCAATACTATGATATTGATTAATTCTGGAGTCGTTCTTAAAGCAACCAGTAATACAATAGAAATTGCAAATTCTTTCAATGGTGAGCAAAAATGTGAATATTTTACAATCTCTGTGAAATTGCAAAGGTAGACTGACAAAATATTCTCTAAGCCTTTAAAACTAAACCTTGAATAATCCTCATTTGTAAGCAAAAGATAAGACGCCAGAAACTGCTATTCATACTATAACAAACCAGACCAGAGTACATGTATGATTTCATGTAAGACCTCTAGAAACCTACAAATTGATTTCTTGGTTGTGTAAAATTAAGAAAATATTTTCAATTTTAATATTTAATAATATAGAAATGCTACTGATAAAACACCAAAAACAAAACATAAGGTCCAGTTCTTGTTTAAAATTTTAATTATGAGCATGAAATGTCGACATAAGAATGTAGAAACAACAATCACTATATGATATAGGATATGGGTTATAAAGTTACCCGGTTATAATATTTATGACATAAAATTGGACAATTATTATAGTTGTGACATATTTTCATGTTAATTAAATGCCATGTAACAAAGGATTTATTTATATTTATACTTATCAGACTAAACAAAAGATAAGCAACAAAACATACAGCTAACTGAGCAGTAGACAGGGGTGGTCAAATGTATTCATGCTTTTGTAGGTAATAGGTGCATTTACAAGACACTGATATCAATTTCATACAGATCGAATGTCCACAAGGTTCAACAAAGTGAAACAAAGTTATAAACGGAAATTGCTGATATTCGATAGGCTTCTTCGTTTTAATAATCTAAATAATACTTGTAAATTTAATACAGATCGGAGGATAACTTTAATCTTTAGAGTGTTCAACAAAGTGAAACAAGGATCATAACTCTAGAAGTAATTAACAGAATTTGTTGAAATTCAATAGGCTTCTAATTGTCTCATTATGTGAACAATATATATAAATTTTAAACTGATCAGATAATAAATGTAGTCTGTAGAGTGTTCACAAGAGAACAGAGGCGACAGCAATATACGGCCACATTTCCATGTGGGCATATAAAAATACAATAAAAACATTAATTTTGTTATAAAATGAATAACGAATGAGTAGCTAGTCACTGCCAGTACAACAGAAAATGATCAATGATCTGTTATTGAAAAAAAAAAAACAACACATAGGTTACACTATAGGTTTTAAAATCACAAAAATGAATGTGCCACAACAGAACATGAACAGATCAATTGTCAAATATAATCTCTATTGTTTACAGTTCCTGCTGTGTACATAGGATCAACCCTGGCAACCAGAAAAAAGAACAACTCTTTTACAGAGAACAAAAGGTTATACATGTATGAACAAACAAGGCAGAAACCATTTTCCTATATAAGTAGACAAAAATCAATAGAATGGCATAATATCCACAAAGACATTATAGCAATATAGGTTTGGCAACTTTCTGACACAGGCAATTCCTAAACTGCTATTCTGATGGTCTTATTATATTATTAATAAATGTTTTTGAAAGAACTGATACCCTCATTAACATCTACCTGCATACATGTATTACATATGTTTGTTACTAATAAACTGTATTTTGAGACATCTAATTAAAGGAGCTAAACTGTTATTCTTTGGCACATCTAGAAATGGACACAAATGGGTCGCAACTGTAACCCGGGGCTCTCAGAAAAATTCAGATGTCTACTAGTTTGAATGAATTGGTTTAATTCTATGCTTGCACTTACAAAATCCGTATTACAAAATCCGTTGCCAGAATTTAGACAAACTAGGTCAAGACCATGACCAAAGTTTGGATTCTACCCAAATTGCATCTTGGAAATCTAGGTCGCCATTCCGCAGTATTACTTGAACGTTCTGTCTTCGGACAACCTATTATTAAACTTCAAATGCATCATATTTACATCTTCTTGTGTATATATTTATAAAAATGAAATGAAATGGGGTTTAACGTCTTACTGTTTTGCTCCGAACTGGGCTAATGAAGACGGGCATACACCATACTGTGTGCTATGAGGAAAATTTTGCCCGGACAGCGGCACTACGGCCTACTCTTATATCGAATTCCAACTGTCAAGGGATCTTTTACGTGCACGCCAATGTGTACACAGGACCTCGGTTTTTCGTCTCATCCGAATGACTAAACAGCTTTCCTTGTCAGGCCCTCCGCCCTGCATCACTGACAAGGGGGAACCATGACGGAAAGTCTGGGTGAACTTTCTCGGCCAATGCAGGGATCAAACACCCGACCTCCAGGCTAGCGAGTCAGAGTCTTACCCACTTAGCCACCGTGACCCCTTATATTTATAGGTGTGGCTCCTTAAGCCTGTCAACCCGACCAGAATCCATTGTTATTAGTTAATCCGTCCCTCACATATTATCCCCTAGTGTTAGAGCTGAGAGCCCTGGGTTACATGGGGGCTTGTTCCGGGTTAATTGGTCGTTGACAACATATCCAAGATGTCGACATCACCAACTGAACAAGGGAATCAGAAGATGAAGACAGAACATCTGAGGTAGATACGCCACCTCAGTCTAAAACTTCTGCGGTAGATACGTCAACACAATCTATAACTAGGGGTGTCACAATCGGAACAAAATTTGGGGTCGGGTTGTTTCTGAGGCAAAATTTGTCACTGAAGACGATTATGAGATTATTTTACTTCTGTGACGTCATTTTCGGTTGGGGTTTTTCTGATTTCCAAAATGGCCGCCAGAATTTGACGAAAAATTAATTTCCAGATAGTATGGGTGATTATCACGCAAGGTATGGCTTGTAATATATCATATATAAGGTTTTTTAGTAATTGAACTGAAAAAATAATCTCTAAAACTAGTTTCCCCAAATCCAAGATGGCGGAAATTCAAAATGGCGGCCAAAATTTACCTAAAATGGCTGATTTGCCAGATAAAAGTCATTTCACTCTTTGATATGATTTATAATATGTAATTTAAAGGATTTTCAGTGGCAGAAATTCAAAATGGCGGCCAGAATTTCCCTAAAATGGTCGATTTTTCGGATAATCGTCATTTTTAAGTTCGATATAGCTAACATCTTATGGAGACATAATGTGTGGTGCATTTACGGTCTTATAAAGCTCTATTCTTACATAAAGAATTCTTGATTCGCACGGAAGTGTTTTAGCCGTGATCATTTTAAGTCATGCTTATGCCAAGATCTGGGTAAGTGTTAATTGTCCCCCGCCTTTCGAAGAAAGCAGGGGACTATTAAAATGGGTTCGTCCGTCTGTCTGTCTGTCTGTCTGTCCGTCTGTCTGTCCATCTGTCTGTCCGTCTGTCTGTCCGTCACACTTTTTGGGACACAATAACTCTCTTCCTAATTGAGCTAGAATGTTCAAACTTGGTGTATGTGTTTATTAGGTCAATGCCTTGATGGAGTTCGAAGATGAGCATTTTCCGCTTAGGGTAAGCAGAGATAAGCAATTTGATTGGTTGATGCTTTGGGACACGATAACTCTCTTCCTAATTGGGCTAGAATGTTCAAACTTGGTGTATGTGTT